ATCATTAACTATGGGACACACACACACAACTATGGGACACACATCACAACTATGGGGACATCACATATCACAACTATGGGGACACCATTATCATTAACCATGGGGACATTACACATCACAACTATGGGGACATCACACATCATTAACCATGGGGGACACCACACATCACAACTATGAAGACACCACACATCAGTTAACCTGGGGGACACCACACATCATTAACTATGGGGACATCACACATCATTAACCATGGGGACACCACACATCATTAACCATGGGGACATCACACATCATTAACCACAAGCATCACACATCATTAACCATGGGGACACCACACATCATTAACCATGAAGACACCCACATCATTAACCTTGGGACACCACACATCATTAACTATGGGGACATCACACACATCATTAACCATGAAGACATTCACACATCATTTACCATGGGACATCACACATCAGCCAACTATGGGGACATCACAACATCATAAACCATTATGGGGACATCACACACAACTATGGGAACACTAATACATCATTAACCATGAAGACACCACACATCATTAACCATGGGGACACCACACATCATTAACCATGGGGACATCACACATCATTAACCATGGAGACACCACACATCATTAACCATGGGGACACCACACATCATTAACCATGAAGACATCACACATCATTAACCATGGGGACATCACACATCATTAACCATGGGGACATCACACATCATTAACCATGGGACACCACACATCATTAACAATGGGGACATCACATCATTAACCATGGAGACACCACACATCATTAACCATGGGGAGCACTACACATCAATAACTATGGGGACATTCACACATCATTAACCATGGGGACACCACACATCATTAACTATGGGGACATCACACATCATTAACCATGTAGATCACACATCAAGTTAACCATAGGACATCACACATCATTAACCATGGGGACATCACACATCATTAACCATGGGGACATCACACATCATTTACCATGGGGACATCACACATTATTAACCATGGGGACATCACACATCATTAACCATGGGGACATCACACATCATTTACCATGGGGACATCACACATCACAACTATGGGACATCACACATCATTAACCATGGGGACATCACACATCATTTACCATGGGGACATCACACATCATTAACTATGGGGGACATCACACATCATTTACCATGGGGACATCACACATCATTAACCATGAAGACACCACACATCATTAACCATGAAGACACCACACATCATTAACCATGGGGACACCACACATCATTAACTATGGGGACATCACACACGTATTAACTATGGGGACATCACACATCATTAACCATGGGGACATCACACATCATTAACCATGGGGACATCACACATCATTTACTATGGGACATCACACATCATTAACTATGGGGACATCACACATCATTTCATGGGGACATCACACATCATTAACCATGAGACATCACACATCATTAACTATGGGGACATCACATCATTTACCATGGGGACATCACACATCATTAACCATAGACACTACACATCATTAAATTCAAAGGGACATCACACATCACAACCATGGGGACATCACATCACAACTATGGGGACATCACACATCACAACTATGGGGGACATCACACATCACAACTATGGGGACATCACACATCATTAACCGTGGGGACATCACACATCATTAACCGTGGGGACACACATCATTAACCGTGGGGACATCACACATCACAACTATGGGGACATCACACACACACACCATGGGGGACACCACACATCATTAACCATGAAGACATCACACATCATTAACTATGGGGATACCATACATCATTAACCACATGGGGACACCACACATCATTAACCATGAAGACATCACACATCAATTAACTATGGGGACACCATACACATCACAACTATGGAGACATCACACATCACAACTATGGGGACATCACACATCATTTACCATGTGGCGCCTCACACATCACAACCATGAAGACATCACACATCATTAACTATGGGGACACCACATCATTTACCATGGGGACAATTCACACATCACAACTATGGAGACATCACACATCATTAACCGTGGGGGGACACTACACATCATTAACCGTGGGGACATCACACACTTCATTAACCGTGACATCACACATCATTAACCGTGGGGACATCACACATCATAACTATGGGGACACCACACATCATTAACCATGGGGACATCACACATCACAACCATGGGGACATCACACATCACACCATGGGGACATCACACATCACAACCATGGGGACATCACATCACAACCATGGGGACATCACATGTCATTTACCATGGGGACATCACACATCATTAACCATGGGACATCACACATCAACTGTGGGGACATCACACATCATTAACCATGGGGACACCACACACTTCACAACTATGGGGACATCACACATCATTAACCATGGGGACATCACACACCATTAACCATGGGGACATCACACATCACAACTATGGGGACACCACACATCATTAACCATGGGGACATCACATCACAACCATGGGGACATCACACATCACACAACTATGTATACCACACATCATTAACCATGAAGACACCACACATCATTAACTATGGGGACATCACACATCATTAACCATGCGGAGACACCACACATCATTAACCATGGGGACACCACACCACAACTATGGGGACACCACACATCATTAACCATGAAGACACCAATACATCATTTACCATGGGGACATCACACATCACAACCATGGGGACATCACACACATAACCATGGGGACATCACACATCATTAACCATGGGGACACCACACATCATTAACCATGAAGATACTCCACACACATCATTAACTATGGGGACAATTACACATCATTAACCATGGGGACATCAAGCACATCATTAACCATGGAGACACCACAAATCACTTCAACTATGGGGAAACCACACACTATTAACTATGAAGACATCACACATCATAAATTCATGGGGACATCACACATCACAACTATGGGGACATCACACTAACACAACTATGGGGACACCAATATCACAACTATGGGGGGTATCACACATCACATTAACTATGGAGACACCACACATCACAACTATGGGGACATCACACATCATTAACCATGGGGACATCACACATCACAACTATGGGGCACCACACATCATTAACCATGGGGACACCACACATCACAACTATGGGGACATCACACATCATTAACCATGGGGGACATCACACATCATTAACCATGGGGACATCACACATCATTAACTATGGGACATCACACATCATTAACCATGGGGACATCACACATCATTTACCATGGGGACATCACACATCATTAACCATGGGGACATCACACATCATTAACCATGGGGACATCACACATCATTAAACCAAGGGGGACATCACACATCATTAACCATGGGGACATCACACATTTACTATGGGGACATCACACATTAATAACCATGGGGACATCACACATCATTAACTATGGGGGGACATCACACATCATTTCATGGGGACATCACACACATCATTAACCATGGGGACACGTACATCATTTACCATGGGGACATCACACATCATTAACCATGAAGATACCACACATCATTAACCATGAAGACACCACACATCATTAACCATGGGGACATCACACATCATTAACTATGGGGACATCACACATCATTAACCATGGGGACATCACACATCATTAACCATGGGGGACATCACATCACAACTATGGGGACATCACATCATTAACCATGGGGACATCACACATCATTAACCATGGGGACATCACACATCATTTACCATGGGGACATCACACATCATTAACCATGGGGACATCACACATCATTAACCATGGGGACATCACACATCATTAACCATGGGGACATCACACATCATTAACCATGGGGACATCACACATCATTAACCATGGGGACATCACACATCATTAACCATGGGGACATCACACATCATTAACCATAGACATCACACATCATTAACCATGGGGACATCACATCATTAACCATGGGGACATCACACATCATTAACCATGGGATATCACACATCATTACCATGGGGACATCACATCATTAACCATGGGGACACCACACATCATTAACCATGGGGACATCACACATCATTAACCATGGGGACACCACACATCATTAACCATGGGGACATCACACATCATTAACCATGGGGACATCACACATCATTTACCATGGGGACATCACACATCATTAACCATGGGGACACCACACATCATTTACCATGGGGACATCACACATCATTAACCATGGGGACACCCCACATCGCTACCTCACTTAATCCTCAACAGTTTTCCTCTTATCTCATAAATCTTCCTCCCACCCACAGTGCCTCTTGGTCCTCCTGCCTTATAACAGGATCTGTAAACTGTAAGTGAACCTCCTTAATGGTTAGTATGATCCTGGAGGCCCGACTCTGGAGGACTTGTTGGCTGTTGTAATTTGTCTAATTTAGAGAGTAATGATTTATAGTGACAGAAAATAATCAGCCATTAAAAACAGTAAACAAAAACTTATGACAAGAAAAATTATGTTATTAATGTCTCACAAGAAGCTTGAGTGGTAATAGAACATGAAGCTAATGTTGCCAGAAGAGCTTATAAGTTTTATGAAGAGCTGTGTAAAAAGAGAGTAAGGTAATGGATGAAAAAGAGAAAATGGGCACATAAGTGGAGAGGTGTTTCATGTTCTTCCATTAAATGTGTTGGACATAAACTGAAATCACTGTACTAGTATAAGTTCAAGGGTTTAACCTTTAAAGTATAACTGGTTAATATCACCCAACATTTAGAATGTATTAGGGGAACAAACATTAATTTTTATTTTATTTTGAAAGACATTTCCTTACAGTGATTTTTCAACAGGTTGAGGTTGTAGCAGTTCCTGTAAGCACAGGAGAGGAAGGAGGTCAAGGAAAATTGAGAAGAATCAGTCAGCATGTGCCTGACAACATGACATTTGGTGGACATCCTCAACCCTCCCTAGATGTACCGTATCAAGTTTCCATCAAAGACAAGATGTGTTACTGTGCTATAACTATGATCAAGGTAAGACTTGTGATGAAGCTCTGTGGAACAAAAAATAATATTTTTCGGTATTGTTGAAACTTCATATTTTAATTTATGAAACATTCGTTTAAAGGACTCATACACAAATATAACATAGGTGTTTGACTATAGGAATGGGTAAAATGGTATTTGGTGGTGGGAAGGTTCCACACATAGCTACTGAGTTATAGATTTTGTTTAACCCTTAACTGGCAGCTAAAGATTCCCTCCTCCACCCCCATATTTGCTTAAATGGAGTGAAAGGAATGTGAAACATGCACTGATGATAGCTGCTGTTTTATGGTTAATCTGCTCAATAGAACCTCCCATTGCCATGTCAAGTACAGTATGTAATGAGGTAAACACCTCCAAAAAACACCAGTACAGTATAAAGTATTTGTTCACCACTCAGTTTTAAGCGATGGATGCTGTGACGGAGGAATATTGTACTGTTACCGGTCCTTCTCTCAATCCTTCCGAATTTAATGATTTTATGATTGTCTGTACAGTAATAGGATTGTCAAACTTAATACTTTATTCTTTAATAATGTTGTTATCTCTGAAAATGAGACAAGTGTAGGATGTTTATACAGTATTCTGTTGAATTAAAATGTATCATCTCTCTCACCAGGCATATGAGAATTACTCTTTTGAAGAGCTCCGTTACATGTCACCCGCCATACGTCGGCCAACAGAGAACATGTTGGTGCGCAGTAACAATGATGGCACTTACTCCTGCAACTGGACCCCTGGAGCCACGGGCTGGTACTCCTTACATGTTACCATAGATGGCTACCAGTTAGAGGAGGTAATTGTTCTTCCTTTAAACTACTCTCCTCTGCTCTGTTTATACTGTACAGTATTACTATCTTATGTTTAGCCAGATAATAATCACAACCTGTGTATAACACAGAGCTCCAGTTGTTCAATATTTTTCAACACATTAGTCTTACAACTTCCCTCATAATAATTATTGATGTATGACAAATAAATATATTGGCTGAGAATGGTGCCATTACAGTGTTCTGGTTATCACATAAGAGAAAGGGAACTGATTTAATTGGAATACAGTACAGTTAACCCTCACTTTACGCGGTTAATGTAACCCGGAGGGTCCCGCGTAAAGTGAGGAACGCGTAAAGTGAATAACATAACATATGGGATTTATTGAAATGGAGTCCGGGCCGATCCCCAAACTCCACTTTTTGACGACACACAACTATGTTGTAGTAAAAATTTTATCTTAACTTTATGATGGTATGAAAAATCAAGTAATATAGAAGAGGTTAGGTTAGGAAGATAAAGGTTAACATAGGAAAAATACAGGTAAGGTTAGAAAACTAAAAATTAGGTGTAACACTTACGGTAGTAGAAGAGATGGGTCGGCATACGGGGATGGAGGCTGGTTCCGAGGCAGAGGGCAGATTACTGGCCCTCAGGTGAATCACCATTACTAGGTGAATCACCATCACTGTCACTTACAGTTGTCAGGGCTTCCCTGACAAATCCCTCAAAGTCACCTTCACTGTCACTACCACTGGCTTGGGCTGGCTGTGGTGGGTTGCGGGCGAAGAAATCTGTTATGCTTTGCTGACGGCTGGCGTTGATGTTGTCGTGATACACCTTGATGTACGGCTCCATAGCCTGCACCAGCCGGGTATGGAAGACTTCATAGCGGTCATCGTCATTGTCACGGGAAAGGAAGGACTTCATCTTCTCTGCACACTCCATGGCACCCTTAATATCACTATGACTTAAATTGTGTTCTTCGGAGACTGACGCACCTTCTTCCTCCTCTTCACTGACGTGTTCTTCTTCCAACATCTCGTCGGCAGTCACTTCAGGATCTCTGATCACCTCCAGGATGTCGTCGTTGGTGGTCTCGGAGAAGCCTGGAACTGTAACAGTCTGCGCAGCTTCTCTGGCAAGGTCCACTGCTACTGCAACATTCTGAACCTCACCAGTCACAGATTGACTCCTCCTCTCACCTGGTATTCCATGCAACACATGTCTCCATGCGTGACGAATTGTAGCAATAGACAGCTGATCCCATGACTCCACCAAGAAGTCCACAGCTTTCTTGATGTTAAATACTCTCCAGAATTGTTTGAAGAGTATTTTTTGCTGTTCTAACTGTTGATCCTCATCTTCTTCGCTCTTGCTATCGGTGGTGGTGTCACTCAGGTTACGCAACTCTTCCCTGGTGTTGGTGTAGTCGTTCAGGAGCTGGAATTTTTTTGTTGAGAATGCAGCTTTCACATTGCAAATCAACTCCTGGTCCATGGGCTGGATTAAAGACGTAGTGTTGGGAGGAAGGAAGACCACTTTTACGTTGGGGTGACGATCTAACAGTAGGGGCGAGTGTCCTGGTGCGTTGTCCAGCAGCAACAAAATATTAAATGGGACATTCTGTCGCTCACAGAATTTCTTTACATCGGGAACAAAACAGTCATCAAACCAGGAGAGGGACAGTGTAGAGAACATCCATGCCTTACGTGCGGTCAGCCAGTGGACATTTAGCTTGGTCATGTCCATGCTCTTGTAGGCGTGCGGCTTGCGGGCTGTGTGGATCACCGATAACTTGAGCTTACAGGTACCGGAGGCATTGGTGGTAAACAGGACGGTGATGCGTTCCTTCTGCATTTTCCGGCCCCGAATCCTGCTGGCATTCTTCACAACGAAGGACTTGGAAGGTAGCTTTTTCCAGAAAAGACCAGATTCGTCCATGTTAAACACCTGGTCGTCACTGTACTGTCCTTCCTCCATAATCTCACGTAAAAACGGAGGAAATTCCCGAGCCGCAGCACGATCAGCACTCGCTTCTTCACCACCAATGTTTATATTGGTGATCTTGTTCCGGATCTTAAACCTCTGTAACCACCCAGAGGAAGCATTAAAGGGTTTGGGCTCTGAAGTTCCCATCTTTCGTGCCACTGCCATGTACAGTTCACGTGCGTAGTCCTTAACAGAGCGCGTGTCGACCGCCATGTTCCGTCGCGCCTGACGCACCAAGTACCTCACAAGTAATTTTTCTGTCTTGAGAAGCACCTGGTTGTGAAAATACTTGATCACAGAAGCACCTGTAGACTTTGTGATCTTCATGTGCTCCTTTATCTTGGCTGAATCCTTCTTTATAGTCCGGATCGTAGATTCGTTCACGCCATGCTGGCGCGCCAAATCAACCTGCCTTGTTCCTTTCTCCAACTCTTGGATGATGATATACTTCACCTCGTGGCTTAAGGAACGTCGTGTCTTCTTTGGTTTAGTGCCGCTGGGTCCAGGTAAGGAAAGGTTTGTCTCTGGGGGTGGTGGTCCGGCGGAAGCCATTTTACGGAACAATGGATGCGCGTTTACACGGAGTGGCCTTGAGGGATGAAACTGCCGCGGCTAGGTCAAGCGTCGTCTCTCCTCCCTCCCTCCCTCCCCCGGGTGGACACGTCATAATACTTTAAGCCAATTACAGCTAGCAGCAGAGGAGGGTAGGGATGCATGGCCAATCACAGGTCTGATACGTCATATGACGTCAGTGATAACGCAACAAAGACACACTAAATTTGTCACTGTTGCTCAAGAGGGAGGGAGGAGGAGGGAGAGGCATGGGCGCCATGCTATGGTGCCATGGGCACCCAAAATAGTGTCACATGATACTCATGACAATGGCGTTTCCGCCAATCACGTAAATGTGAAAATGTTAGGTTTTGGCAAGGCACTGCGGGGTAACGGTATATATATATATATATATATATATATATATATATATATATATATATATATATATATATATATATATATATATATATATATATATATATATATACTATACTGTGATTGCTTTGTGGAAATGTTTACTTCTTTGTTATATTTATAATTTATGTATAGTACTGGTACTTGATAACATCAGTAATAATTTTATTTACTTCAGAATGACTACATATATATTGTTTGATTGACAGACATACAAAATGGAAGTAAAAAGCCACCTAAGGTGTGTCCTCCAGTCCAGAGCACCACAGAGGTCGTCACAACAACCCTCTCGTCTACGAAAATTTGTCCTCCAGAACAGTGCTGGTTTGAGGATTCGAACTCATCCATCTCTTCAAAGTGAACAGATTGGTGTGGTCCATGTCAATGGCACCATTGCATTTTATGATGAAGTAAGTAGACATACCACTACCTGTTCACATGAAGTGGTCAACATTTCAATTTAATATAAAATAGTATGAATAAGTGTCACTAAAGCATAAGGTAGATACATACAGTATAATATATACAGTGTAAAGGACATTCTTTAGGCAGGTATTATATTTAAATCATTAGGATAGTTCTTGTTAAGATGGATGAGCAGTTATTCATGGCCACGTAATTCTCATGCCCAGTCTTTTAGTCAACCCACTTGTTATCTGAACAAATAATGAAATGCTCTTGGCTGCTTCTTCTCCTGGACCCTGGTGTCATCCAAATAATGAGCCATTGTTATCTAATAGAGGAGCACCTCATTTACCTGTTTACCACACCCCCCTCCTCTCCACCACCTCACCTGTTGTCACCACACCTCCTCCTCTACCACACCTCTCCTGTTGTCCACCCCACCTCCCTCCTCCCCCTCCCCACCTCCACCTGTTGTCACCACACCTCCTCCTCCTCTCACCCACCTCCCTCTCTCCCTCTCACCACACCTCCCTGTTGTCACCCCTCCTCCTCCCCTCCACCCCACCTCTCCTCTCTCACCCCACACCTCCACCTGTTGTCACCCCTCCTCCTCTCTCTCCCCCACCTCCTCCTCTCTCACACACACCTCCACCTGTTGTCCCACACCCCTCCTCCTCCCCTCTCACCCACACCTCCTGCCTGTCACCACCTCCTCCTCCTCCTCACCCACCTCCACTTGTCACCCTCTCCTCCTCTCACCCCACACCTCCCTGTTCCCACCCCTCCTCCTCCTCTCACCACACCTCCACCTGTTGTCACCACACCTCCTCCTCCCTCTCACCCCCCTCCACCTGTTCCCACCCCCCTCCACCTGTGTCCACACCTCCACCTGTTTACCCCCTCCACCTGTTTACCTCCACCTGTACCCCATCCACCTGTTGTCACCACACCTCCACCTGTTGTCCCCACCCCTCCTCCTCCTCTCACCCCTCCACCTGTTGTCACCACACCCTCCACCTGCTTGTCACCACCCTCCCACCTGTTGTCACCACACACCTCCTCCTCTCACCCCTCCACCTGTTGTCCCACCACACCTCCCCTCTCACCCACACCTCTCCTCCCTCTCACCCCTCCACCTGTTGTCACCACACCTCCTCCTCTCACCACACTCCACCTGTTGTCCCCACCTCCTCCCTCCCTCTCACCCACACCTCCACCTGTCACCTCTCCTCTCCACCACACCTCCTCCTGTTGTCCCTCCTCCTCTCCCACCCTCCCTGTTGTCCCTCCTCCTTCACCACCTCCACCTGTTGTCACCACACCTCCTCCTCTCACCCACCTCCTCCTGTTGTCACCACACCTCCTCCTTCCTCTCCACCCACCCTCCACCTCCACCTGTTGTCACCACACCTCCTCCTCTCACCACACCTCCACCTGTTGTCACCACCTCCTCCTCCTCTCCACCACACCTCCCCTGTTGTCACCACACTCCTCCTCCTCTCCACCACACCTCCTCCACCTGTCCTCTCCCACCACACCTCCACCTGTTGTCACCACACCTCCTCTCTCCTCTCACCACACCTCCTCCTGTTGTGTCCCCACCCCTCCCCTCCCCCACACTCCACCTGTTGTCACCACACACCTCCTCCTCCCTCTCCCACACACCTCCCCCTGTGTGTCACCACACCTCCTCCTCCTCCTCACCCACACCACCTCCTGTGTCACCACACCCTCCTCCTCTCACCCACACCTCCACGCCTCCTCCTCCTCTCACCACACCTCCACCTGTTGTCACCACACCTCCTCCTCCTCTCACCACACCTCCACCTGTTGTCACCACACCTCCTCCTCCTCTCACCACACCTCCACCTGTTGTCACCACACCTCCTCCTCTCACCACATTAATAGACTCTTATGGATCCAAACTATTTATTCATTGTTCTCCCTTATGCTGGCACGACTTGTCTCACTTAAGTCATCTGTAGAGCCTTCTGTTATTCTGTTTAATATTGTACAAAGTTTGATGAAGAGCATTGTATCAGAAATACAGTTACACTTAAATTCTTAAATATAATTAGTATTCTGTGTACGTCTGGTATGATTTGTGTAACTTCGCAGGTTGCGCCTTCTTATTTTCACTACCCATTAATTCCTGCAAACTATTTGTTTTTAGTAATCCAATTTTTAAACTTTCAGTGTAAAGAAGTTTATCAAATACTGTACTGTACATTGATGTGAAATGTCATAATTTGTATTAAATATTTTTTCTTCATCACGTCAGGTTCACAACAGTGATGGAGTTTGGTTACGTCTCAGCCCTGAGAGTATACGCCAGTATTGCACTAATGGGTATTCAGAAGCTTGGTGTCTGCAGTACAACCAACACCTGGGCAAGACACTGCTGGTACCGCTAGACCATCCTAAGACTATTCTAGACCAGGTATAGCACTGTACATCTCAGTAGTAACGAATAAAAGAAATTATGGTTGGCACAAGACTGTAGAAGTATTACATGAAAGAATATCTGTTATGCCCTAAGGTGGAAACTCTTACATCACTCATACAACATGATAGGGAAATGTTGACACTCTTAGTGGATCATACAGCTCTAACCAGAAAATACAGTACACCACATTCAAACTGCACAGCATGCCAATGTAAGATTGTGTTAAATAATTTGTGAAGCCTTTTCCTTTCCCCAACACTGGAAATGAGTCCCTAAAATTTATTCCCATTCTCCATCTAATTGTTATACTGTGTAGATGTATTACATATTTTATTCCTTAGTGACCAACATTAGGGTTACCAGGTATTCCATGGCAGTTAGGTAGGAGATGTAATTTACTAAGTTTTCTGTGAGTGAAGTAAACATTGTATCAGTAAATGTACACACTAGGTGGGATTAGTACCTGTATTGTGATTCAGTATTGCATGGTGATTCTTGGTCTTGCTCTTGTGTTATATTAGGAGTCTACAGTACTGCATTGTGCATTAATCCTTGCCATTTCCTTTTAAAGTTGTATACAATACTGTTTAGGAATTGATTTTGTTAGTTATTAATTGGTATAATAGTCATGAATAATTCTTGTGAACTGCTTATTGGTTCTTTACTTACCTCATCTCTCCAGGTGATAACTGACACCATAAGTCGACGTCGTGATGGAAGTCCTCGCCGTGAAACTACACTTGGTGCCGATGGTGCTGAATGTACTACTGGAGGAGGAGGAACGTACACTGTGGTTAAATGTGGTGCCTCGGGACACAACATTCGTAGTCAGCCAAACTTGAAAGCGCCACCAGTTGGAATGCTTGTCCTAGGAAATGTTATTACAGCAGATTGTGATGCTAAGAATGCTGATGGTACGTCAACATCAACTATTGCACAGGATGTTGTTAGATGCTCACTTGAAGATTAATTACTGACTTCATTTTAAGTCTTGGGGCTCACTGTGTGTCAAGAAAATGTATCAAAGTACGATACAGAACACTTGGTTTACAGTAAACATCCCCTACTGTACAGTACAGTATACTATAGTAATGTGTGCTGACTTAACCAACCATTATACAGTACATAATAGTGAAAATATAAATAATAAATTATTGACACTTAGGAACAAAACAGTTTTGAAAGGTGTGTGGTAGATCATTTAGGACTACAAAAAAGAACCATCTGTACAAGAGCAGCATACCCTGTACAGCATCTGCTTACCACAGATGAATGTAAATGGAGCTTCTTCGTTTTTCTTTTCTTTTTTAAATTTTTTCCATCTTTCCTACACTCTTAGGTACGTGGGTTCGTTTGGATTCAGAGAGCACACGCAAGTATTGCTTCACTGATGGGGAGGCGTGGTCTCTAGCTATGTCTCGAGGTCACACTCTTTACCTTCAGCGCTCCCATAGCCACAGTCACCCCTACCCATCATCTCTGCCTGGTGGTAAGTTTGCCTCTTTACACAGCTTGCATTAACGAGTAGAAAGCTTCTATTGTCAGAAAAAAAGGAATAATTTGTCTACACATGAAGCTGTTAAAGGGAGAGGTGGACGACAGGACAAGTAACTAAACATAAGGTGAACGTTAACTCACCATAATTTAGAGATACTCATTGAAGTGCCTTTTATTAGAGTTATGAGTAAAGTTTATTATACACTATTTGTTTTTTCTCTTTGTTTATAAACATTTAACCCTCTTATCGTCAGAGCCTGAGACACATATGTGCATGAAAACTTACGCTCAGCCTCGGAGGTTGTTGCCGAAAAATCGTTGAAATATTTTTTTTTTTTTGTTCAGGGCTCATATCTCTGCCGTGGAATTGTTTTATTAATTGTAATGGGGGTCTCTTCTAGCATAAAATTGTCTGAAAAATTGTATGAAACCATAAAAAATGAAAATTCTTGAAATCTAAGCAACTTTTTTCGAGTATAAGTGGAAAATGTTTAGTAACATCTCGATTTCCATTCTCATTTTCCTTGTATTATGGTGTTCATTGATATGTATTATACTATACCAAAATAAAGAACAAGGCCTGTAGAATATCGTGGTATAAGGAAAAATATTATAACACAAAAACTAATGGAATAATTAAAGGGCTGAGCGGCACACCTCTAATGGCCAGAGCGACACTGGCTTCACGCTGCTCTGCTACACACACGATGACCAAGACGGTCTCGGGGAAGGTGATAAGGCCCACACAAAGAAAACGACTTCTGTCAAATGGTGTCCAAAGTCCAGTCAATTTCACTGAATAGTTTTTTGAGTAATTTGAAAAATTAGCCTTTTGGACATCACATTGGCATCGTTCGAGGCTGAGAGGGTTAAGACTTTCAGATTTAAGTTTTCTCAAAAAGAACTTTGTTTAAACATTGCCAAACAATTAAACCCATTGGATGTGCTATTTGACTGCATTTAAACAAACTTTTTACCACGTCTTTCTAAAATCACGCCAGTTTGTTGGAACGCACCTCGGCTCTCTCTCCTGCGTGGCAAACAAGAGAGCCAGTAACTGTTACCTTACTGTGACAACTTCACTCATAAACAAATACTCTATCAGCTGATCGCTGCCACCCACGCTGTGACTCGTTTATCTCTCTCTTTATTTTCACTTTGTTTTCACAGTTAATTAGTTATGTTATGAATTTTATATTCTCAATAAATGTTTGATAAGTTAGAGTTATTTTTTATAATGCATGAATAGAGTTATACAGTAGCCTCAGGTTCTTTGTTAAAAATATTAATTTCTCAACAACCTAAGTTATAGTACTGTACAATACTGCTGTTTTCCTCTAAGTCAACCCTCGGTAATCAACAGTATTTGGGGGGGGGGGGATCTGGAGTAGCTGAATGTCCAGACTATTGAAATCCAGTAAAGTGTATAGAAAATACTCCCCTATTAGACAGTGTTCCCAGATGACCCGAGAGTGAAATACTATACAGTACAAAGTTCCAAATCCAATAACCTTGGGACTCCAGGGTTGCTTTTTATTCCAATTACAATTTTCAAGCTATATGTATATATTCACATTTATTTTTGAAAACAAAACAAAACTATGAACCATTATCTCTCAATATTATGTACAAACTAATTATGGAAGAATGAAAACATTATAGTTATCATCATCATCAACATTTTACAGTGATTTTCCATGTGTCTGGATTAGCATTGATTACCTGATGGCAGCTGTCCATGCTGCACGGTCTCTTGCAGTCTCTCATCAGGTTCTTAACTCTAATGTCATATCTTACAACCTCTCCCCACACCAACATTTACCTGCCTGTGGCTGTCCTCTCCTCCATAAATAGTCTCATGCACCCAGTTGGTCTGATTAATTCTCTCCACATGTCCAAACCCTCTCAGTCTGCCTTTACACAGTGCTCTCCATACCCAGCCACCCTCTTAAGTGGAGCCCCCATACCTGGCATAAACCCAAACTGCATTCATTATGGATAAACTATTTCTAAGGCAGAAATCTATAAACATGTCGCCCTGTTTATTTCTTGTTCATTCTTGTCCCTATTCCAGAGTGTCCAACAATCCCTTCAAATTTGTTGCTGCTTACATGACCATTGAAGTCACCCATAATGATAATGTCACTATCACAGGGTAAAATGTTGATAGTGTGTTGGAGGTGTACACAAAACTCTTCCTTTACTTCAAGAGTTCTTCCTTGTTGAGGGCGTGAGATTAGATGACTGACAGTTGGTAGCCTTTCAGTATCAGTGTTACAGCAGTGATTCATTTGTTTATGTATCACTCTCACTCCATGGTTTGTGTCATGGTCTCTGCCTCAGTATACAATGTGTCATGGTCTCTGCCTCAGTATACAATATCATGGTCATTGTGTAGTTTTCTGCAGCTTTTTCCTTTCCATTTAGTCTCATATAACCCCAAATTTTTTAGCTTCTTCTTGTCAATCATATGGATGAGTTTTTCATGTTTATTGTAAAATATTCCAACATTTAAACTTCCATTATAAAAGTGTCCTTCAGCCATAGTCCTTGTCTGCTCCAGAGGGATTTGATCATTGCCAATCTGTCCATTCTGAGGCTCTCTGCTTGGTTCTTGAGCAAAAGTTCAAACCGCCATTGTTTTGCTGGCCTGTCATGGCTTCGCGAATCTGTTAATTTATACCATCAAAGTTCCTGTTGCTTCCCGAGGGTCACAGGTCTACTGATATCAGTCCCAAGCAAGGAACAATTTAGGCTTAAACCGTCACACCTCAGCAAGGTTACAGACTCTTGCACAGGTATATGTCATCCCCTGTACTGTGATGGAGCACTGTACTGTACTGTACTATGCTGTACTGTATTGTATTCATTGAGTTTTGCTTCCTGCTGTTGAATTGTCATGCCCCCTTGTAAGAGTGTACCATCGTACGATATGTTTTCCCATGTTGAGTGGGGGGGCTTGTCCTTGGCAGCGCCTGATGGCCAGTGCCCAGCTGACGCTGTTATAATAAAGTCTATAGAAAACATGGTCTATGACTCCAACCTCCCACATGGCGCACAGTGAGTAGGATATGTCGGGGCCCGACACGCCATTACAGCCCTGACAAGAACGCTGACATGGCCCCTACACGTCCACGATTCTCGACGCCCTCAAGGGGACGCCAGGGCTTCTCTACACCGGCCGGGAACACCACGCGCGCCCAGCAGCAGGCCATGAGTGCATTGATGGCTCAGATGGCGTCTCTAGGTGCTGGCGGTGGTCATGCTTCTATGCCGGTCATGAAGCCCTCAGCAGCTGTCGCTCCAGAGAAGTGTGAGGCAGAAATGCCAGCAGCTGCGTTTAGGACATGGAGGCGGTCCATGGAGTCATGGGTGCTGTTGAACGGGTGGCCACAACTGGTGGCCACACTCCACATTCGCCTGAACTGCGTCCCCGCACTCCAAAGAGTGATTGACTCGAGATACCCCAGCGGTCAGTGGGAGCAGCTCTCGCCCAAAGAAGCCCTGGACGCCATCAGTGGAATGGTTCTTCAATCTTCAAACCAAGCTGTGAAATGGAACGAGTTTTTCAACAGCAAACAAGGTGAAGAGGAGCCCATGAAAAGGTATTTTCAACGATGCTTCTCAGAAGCAGTGGAGTGTGAATTTAAATGTCCCACCTGTGATAACGACCTCTCTGAGTACATGCTATTACGTAAAGTTATGGTGGGCCTGAGTAACCCAGTGTTGAAAAGGGAAATTTTCCAGGGGTACTCTAGTTATAATAGTGTTGAAGTGCTTAGAAACAAATGCATGTTATTTGAGGCAGCAGTGAGAGATGCTGGTGTATTGTGTCGTACGTCTGGCCAGGCAGTGGTGGGAACAGTTGCGGAGGCAGTGGCGGGTGGTGATGACGTCACCGGTGAGCCTGAGGTAGCTGCCGCCCGACCTCCACACCCAAGTCGAGGACACTGTGGTAATTGCGGCGTGTCACATGCCCCTGGTAAAAGTAACTGCCCTGCAAGTGGGGCTACATGTCGCAATTGCGGTAAGGTTGGTCACTTCAAAAGGTGTTGTAGGAGTAAGTCAACCCTAAGTGCTCCTGTGGATGTGTCAGGCGCTGTTACAGTGGCAACAGCCCAGCTATCCCGCCACCCCAGGTTACAAGTGTTCGTGTCCCAGGCCGGGGGCAATTCCCCCGCCACCCCTGTGCTGGCTGTAGCCGACACGGGTGCTATGGTGTGTGTGGCAGGCGCATCCCTGCTCCGGGACATCGGTTTGTGTCCGGGGCAACTTCGGGCCCGTAATGGCTTAAGGGACGTGGCGAACAAACAGCTCAAGTGTCTGGGGTCCGCCCCCTGCCGCCTCGGTGTGGACGAGGGGTCCACCGTCCAGGAGGTCTACTTCGTGCAGACAGCCAAGGCCCTCTATCTGTCATTGGAGGCCTGCAAGTGCCTCAACTTGGTGCCTGTCGACTTCCCGCTCCATAGACGTGCTGTGGCTGCCGTGGGCGATGGAGGGGAGCGGCACACTGCCGACGATCTACCTCCGAACCGTTTACCTGAGAGCAGCCGTTTCCCGCCGAGGCCAGTTGAGATACCCTTGCCTCCTTTGGAGGAGAATGTGGCCAGGCTGGAGGCATGGCTACTCACGCACTTTTCGTCTACCGCATTCAACACCAGCAGGTCCCCACTGCCAGTCATGACTGGTCCCCCTCACCGTATCCACCTGACGCCCGGCACGACCCCCTATGCCTGTCACACACCCGCTCCCGTTCCGAAACACTGGGAAGCGGAGGTGAAGGCCCAGTTGGAGGAGGACGTCAGGAGAGGCGTCATCCAGCCAGTGCCTGCTGGTGAGGCTACGGAGTGGTGCGCCAGGATGGTCGTGGTGGCCAAGAAAAACGGTCAGCCCAGGCGCACTGTGGACTTCCAACGCCTCAATGCAAGCTGTCTGAGGGAGACGCACCACACACCTGCACCATTCGACATGGTGTCTGGGGTGCCAGTGCACTCGTTCAAAACCGTCGCCGACGCCTTTTGGGGATTTCATCAAGTGGAGTTGGAGGAGGAGAGTAGACGCCTGACCACATTCATCACGCCGTGGGGACGTTTTCGATACTGCAGGACGCCCATGGGACATTGCTCAGCGTCAGATGCTTACACCAAGAGGTTTGACGACGCTATTCAGGATGTGCCCCGCAAGTACAAGTGCGTGGATGACACTCTCCTCTATGACTCCAGTGTGAAGGGGGCGTTCTGGCACACTTACGATTTTCTGGAGACCTGCGCTCGCACAGGTATCACGCTGAAACCAGAAAAGTTCTTGTTCTGCAGGAGAGAAGCTGAGTTTGTGGGTTTCCTCCTGGGGTGGGACCTGTACCAGCCCACTGCCCAACGTCTGTCAGCCATCAAGGACTTCCCCATGCCGGATCAGCCATCAATCACTGACATCAGGTCCTGGCATGGCCTGGTTAATCAGTTGGCTCCCTTCCTTGCCACTGCACCTGTGATGGAGCCCTTCCGTGAGCTCCTCAAGAAGCCAGTGGGCAAGCAGGTGTATTGGGACGACCAGCTGCGGCTCAAGTTTCGCCAGGCCCAGGACACCATCTGTCAGTTGGCCAGAGACGGCTTGGTGTACTACGACAAATCCAGGCCTACGGCAGCTGTCACTGATTGGAGCAGGGAGGGCATCGGCTTCGTCGTCCTGCAACAATACTGTGCCTGTGCCTCTCCAGAGACGCCCTTCTGCTGCAGAGGAGGGTGGCGGTTGGCTCTGTGTGGTAGCCGACATCTGAGCACGGCCGAGGCCGGTTATGCTGCAGTAGAAGGGGAGGCCCTGGCTGTGGTGTGGTGCCTGCGCAAGGCCAGGCTGTTCCTCCTTGGCTGCCCGAACCTCATTCTGGTGACGGACCACCGCCCCTTAGTTGGCTTGCTAGGGGACAGAGCCTTCACGGATGTGGCGAATCCGCGCCTGTTCAGGCTCAAGGAGAAGACCCTGCAGTACCGATTCACGGTCAAATACTTGCCAGGGAAGCGGAACTGTGCAGCTGACGCCCTATCCCGCTTCCCCTCCCTCAGGGCGGCGCCTGATGCGGAGGACATGGACCAAGAGGAGGACCTGTGCGCTGCAGTGTGTGCAGTCACAATCGCAGCACTGGATCAGGATGGGTGCATCACTATGGACGAAGACACAGTGTGCAAAGCGGCGGCGGACGACCCAGTGTACCAGATTCTAGTGTCGAGGGTGCTGGCGGGCGACTGGCACCCCCACAAGTCACAGGAGGTGGCCTGTCTGCGCCCGTACTTCTCGGTGAGGGACAGGTTGGCTGTGGTCAGGGGTTTGGTCACCTACACCTTTGACCAGGGCTGCGTGCGCCTTGTCATCCCCGACTCCCTCCGCCACCGGGTCGCCGTTAACCTGCATGTGGGGCACCAGGGCCTCGACTCAATGCTCAGGCGGGCCCGGCAGTCTGTCTATTGGCCTGGCATGGAGGGTGACCTGCAGTATCATCGGTCCCGGTGTGCTGCTTGCGAGACCCACGCCCCTTCCCAGCCTCCGGAGTCGTTGGTTCTGACCCCAGCGCCAGACTATCCCTTTCAACAAGTGGTGGCCGATTTGTTCCACCTGCAGGGCCGCACGTACCTAGCATATGCTGACCGACTGACAGGTTGGCTGGAGATCGCCCACTTCCCCAACGAGGCCACCTCTGGAAAAATCATCGCCAGTCTGCGGGCCTACTTCACGAGGTGGGGGGTACCTGAGCAGATCTCCACAGATGGAGGTACCAACCTTGCCAGCCTTGAGATGACAGATTTCCTCAAGTCATGGGGGGTCGAGGTGCGCCTCTCGTCGGCCCACTTCCCCCAGTCCAATGGCAGGGCAGAGGCTGGGGTCAAGGCTGCCAAGAGGCTCCTCAGGGATAATACTGGGCCCGGGGGTAGCCTGGACTGCGATAGGACATCCCAGGCCCTCCTCCAGTACCTGAACACGCCTCTGCGGGGGGTGAACAAGTCGCCCGCCCAACTTGCCACCGGCCGCCAGCTCCGTGACGGCGTTCCCGTGGCCAGACAGCACTATAAGGTGGACCAGCACTGGCGGCGGGCACTTCGTATGAGGGAGGTGCGCTTGGCCGAAACACAGGATGGGGTCCTGTCGCGGAGGGAGGTATCCCGCCAGCTGGCTCCCCTAGTCGTGGGCACGCAGGTGCGTGTGCAGGACGCAGCTACCAAGCTCTGGGACAGGACAGGCATAGTGGTGGAAGCCCGCCCTCACAGGCAGTATGCCGTCAGGTTGGGTGGCAGTGGCAGGGTGTCCATCCGAAACAGACGCCACTTGCGAAACGGCTCCACACCTGTGCCTACTACTCCGGTGGTGCACCAAGCTGTGCCTCCTGGGCCCCCTTCTGCTGTGCCCTCCATACCCGCGCCCTCCTCCGCACCCACGGCCCCTCCCCAGTCGAGCGCGGCCAGGCCCAGGAGAGGCCGTAGGCCTCCGGGCTGGTTGACGGACTACGTGGTGTAGTGTATGTGATGTAAAATCAGTTTAGAGGTTTTTTTTGTTTTTGTTTTGTTTTTGTTTTTTTCCTTTGTTTGACTCGATTTTCCTGCATTATTGTTGTTTTTATGAATGCATTGTTTTCCTTTTGTTAGTTCAAAGGTGCATTGTCATTTCCTTTTAACTTGGGGGGGAGATGTAAGAGTGTACCATCGTACGATATGTTTTCCCATGTTGAGTGGGGGGGCTTGTCCTTGGCAGCGCCTGATGGCCAGTGCCCAGCTGACGCTGTTATAATAAAGTCTATAGAAAACATGGTCTATGACTCCAACCTCTCACACCCCTAGACTGACACTCTCTCTCAGGGAAGGTGTTCACTGTGCTGGATCTCATCAGTTCCTCACCTTGGCCTTCAGCCATAAAATGGAATTTCAGGCTTCAGTCATTAATTTTTCCTGTTACTTTATTTTCCATTGAAATGCATATACCCTGTAGAGTACAACCTCTTGTAGGGGTACACCTCACTCTTTTAGTTGCTTAGCTCAGCTCATAGCAAGAGTGAAAATTAGAAACAGTTAGTTGATAAGGTTTATTAATTAATATTATGGTTTCAGATGCAAATAATATGGTTGGTCATCAGGGATTTGACTTCACCCATGCTCAGACTAGTCCTGTGTTTCGTCCATTTCAACAGCCAGCTGTCAGTGGTGATCCCTTTGTCTTTGGTGCAATAAGTATGTACATTTTTGTTTTTTCTTTGTTGAAAATAGATTTCAGGGGAAGTAACAAATTGTAACAGGTTGGCTAACTCTCTTTTCATGTGTAATTTCTGTCAGGAAAAAAAATTGTCTGAAGGAGTTTTTCAGTCATATATATTATGGAAAATGTTTTATGGTGATGATAACAATACTGTCATGTACAGCATTGAGAAGTACAATATGTGATTTCTTAAAAGCAAAACAAAAATAGTCTTAGGCTTTGTGGTTCATATGGAAGTGTTAATACTGTTTGACTTTAACTCTTAAGCTACAACATACATTATCTGAGTTCACCGACACATCTATGACAGTCCTCACATGAGAACACCCATTTTTGTTTCTAAATTACATGCCAATTTTAGCATTCATAAAATTTGTCACATGACTCGGTAGACGTCACACTACCTACACCTGAACAGGGCTCTCAGTTGCCTTTGTCATCATGGAAGACTCATATGCATTGTAAGTGGCATTCTGCTGCCCTCCAGCTCCTCAGCTGATTCACTACATTACCAGAGGGGAAATATTGTACTGTACCTGGTAATAAAAACAATTTAAATATTTCTTCACTATTGTTCTCAACATTCTTGTAGGGGGACATATAAGGACATCTTCCAATAATGGGGAAATGTTGTTGAAGACTTCTTTGTAATACTGAAAATTATATAATAGAATATATTTTCCTGTAATTTATTTATTTTGCTGTTAGTTTACATTCTAAACTGTAAGACAGGTTTAGGAGTAAGGTTAAGATCACTAAAAGCACTTGGCTGTGGTGTGGATGCAGTATATTCATTCATAAATAAAAACAAATTGTTGAGGTAAGTTGTGTTGGGTTTATGAAGGATTAGCTGATGTTGTCTCAGAGACTTGCTGATAGGATGTGGATTGTACAGTACTGTACTAAACTTGATAGTCACTAAAATGTTACATACTGTACTAAACATCACCTAACAGTAGTATGTACTGTACTGTACTGTACTTTATACTCTAGATACTGTAATGTCATTCATGATTAAAGAAAATACTGCAGGTAATACAGAAAATGGTGAAAATTACTTTTATTCATATAGAATTACATAACTGTTTGCAAACAGAATAAAGTGTTTGGATAATCAGGTGACTGTATTTGGTGACACGAACAGTGTCATTTGTAATGGTGAGTACATCACACACTAGTAAGGTACAATGACTCACTCTGAAAGAGAGTTTCTATATTATAACAAATAAAAGTTATAAAAAAAAATATATGCCCTACAATAGAAAGATATGATGCAAACTTCTGTTTGGTGAATGAAGGTTCTCTAAATGTTTCTTCAAAGGTTCTCTGTTACCTGCAGTGTTGTGTTGCCACCTTGACCAAAGTGTTGACACTTTCACCTATTTCTCACATGATTTGTTAATATTTATTTTATTTCTTACAAGAATATTCATGAGAAAATGACAAAAACAAACAAAAGATAATTCTTTAAATTACATCCATGAAACATTGAGTACAGTACAGTGGTCCCTCGGTTAACGAACTCAATTCGTTCCAGAGGGTCATTCGTTAACCGAAACCATTGTTTCAATGGGATATTGGGTAATTGGTTCCAGCTCACAGAAAAGTATATACGAAGTAAAGCCAAAAATGCATAAAGTCACCCGTGTACCGCGGAATGTGAGCATCCTGGGTTCTGGCAGGGCACCGCGTAAACGCGTAAATGTGGAAACGCGGAATGTGGGACCGCGTAAAGTGAGGGTTGACTGTATTCTGATTACATGTACAGTTCAGCTTTGTCCTTAGGACAGTGTTTGCATGTAAATGAGTTTCAATAAATGAATAAAGTTACATATATTGAGCCAAAAATAATAGTTTAAAAACTTTATGTAGACAGAGCTTGGATGGCTAAATTTTAGAATGACCAATAATTCTAATACTGTATAAAAAAATGCACAAATATTAAAGAGCACAATTTACTTTATATTTACTCCATTGGAAACGAATGTAAACATAGTAGAGATTACTGAATTGGCTGAGTATCTCCTCAGCTTATCAGCTGATGTTCAAAACAAAACTTGATTTTCGTAAGGGTTTCGTTAATCTAATTTTTTTCGTTAACCGAATTGAAGATTCTTATGGAAGTTAATTCGTTAACCGAAATTTCATTAACCGAGGCGTTCGTTAACCAAGGCGTTCATTAACCGAGGGACCACTGTGCAAAACTGGTAAAAAATAATTCAAAGATCTATTTGCCAGATGAATAGACATTGCATAAGGTGTATAGCAGTGAGGAGATGAAGAGTGGTAGAGGGGTCGCTGTCATTCAGAATCACTCGAGTACCTTAGTGGTGGTTGTGATGTCATACTGCCAACATCCAAAACACTTCCCAAACTGATTGATGATGATGAAGGCCGAGCTGGTGACAAGGAGCCTTGGTACATGTAGATCTTGCAGGGGACGAGGCTTGCTGAAGCTGTCAATTTTCAACTTCATGAATCGTTTTATTTGCTTGAGAATATCAATTTCCTAAACGTTTCTTAGTTTTTCTTGACATTGTTGTCATTAATTGTGTACGTATATTTCAATTTAAGGGTTAAGTAGTCCACCAGTCCATGATGTAAGTTTATTTAGAGGCACTTCAAATAGTATATTCAAATAATTAATTAGACTAGAATCAGTTTAAACATCTTTAGTGATGGAATATTTTTTGTTTAATTTTCAAAAGGTATTGCTAGAGGAATAACCATATCTTTCATAAATTTACTATTCATCTCAAATCCCTGTTACTACTCATACCAATTACCTCACACATTTAAAATCTATGCTATTACCCACACCACCACCACAGTTACCAGGCCTGGCAGCTGGGAGCAGTGCACGATGCTTAAATTTGCTGTGACAAAATCCAATTAATTACACAAATGTCAGGTAAATACATTTTGCAATTTATCCCAGATGCTAAGCATTTCTTTATGTACCTTCACAAGAGGTAAAGGAATTGCCACATTTTTAAGTATTCAAGTACTCTGTCTGCAACAAATATTGGTCCATGTTATATAACTTGAGGCATTTTTTATACTGTAAACAGAGCCTGGTTACTATCCGCTAAATTGAATTGGGTTTAAAATTTTTCGTGTGCCAACTCAGTGGTGTCTCGGGCCTCTACACACTAAAGTCTTATGTGGACTGTGTGTTTAACTGTACCTGGGATGGTTACATCAGTTTCTGCCACATTATAATGACCAAAAAAGGACACTGCCAGACTAGCCCTTTTTTTCTCTCACCATGATTCCCTATACCCCTGTAATATGTCTGGTGAGGAAAAGGCTCATATCCTTGCACTGTTAGTGAAAAAGTTCCTCTGAGGGAAATCCAAGCTGAAGCACAGCAACAATTGAGAATGAAACGTGTGACATGCAATCTTCCCTCTAATTCTGTTCTATGAAGGAAATCATGTCTTAGGAGGTCCACAAAGACATTCAAGGCCACTAACATGCTTATGAGATAAAAAGTGATGAAGACTCTGCCAATATCTGCAGCAGAATGAATGAAGTCCACCACAACCTCCTTCAGGATGTGTCAGAACAAACAATGTAACACCAACTGCAAAAGAAGCTGAACATACCATCTAGTTCACCTGCTAAAGAATCTCCATGAATGATATACAGTACAAGAATACTGTATTTTTTACTGGAGTGACCTGGGAACTCACTGGACCTAACCCAACAGAGTATACAGTATGCAGTATCTCGCTTGTAAGAAGTCAAGCAGCTGTGGACAATGGATATGGGTCTTGATTATTTCCAAACACTTGTTGAATTCATGCTAGATTTACTTCAATTGGTGATAAAATAAAAGGAAAATTTTTTTAACTATTAATTAATATGGTGATAAAAGTTTCATGTGTTTTATTTATCCTTAGCTTATGTTGTTTGTTAAAAGTCTTGTAAAAAGATTACAGGACCAACATTTTTTGCAGACTATATTGTAATAGGAGGACCGGCAGATTGATATTTAAAGTTTTTACATTTATAGTTTTTAATTTGTTTCTAGCTCGAGGTCGAGGTGATGGAAGCAGCAGCACTGGTACGCAAATGACAACAAATGGAGGAGACGCCAGTATGTGCACTCCACAGAAATCATCTCTTCAGTTAGTTGACGCAAACACCACAACTGATGAATCTGAGGCCACTGGAGTCACAATGAAACAACAGCAGGTAAAGTATTAAACAATGTAGCTTACTTAAGGTTTGGTGAGAATTTGGGTAAATGTGATCTCGTTCTTGACTAAGATGAGAGTCTCTATTCCAGCAATATTATCCCAATTTTATTATGTGTTTTATATAATTTGTTCAACACAATTATGTATTCAAACGTTACATTTATTGTTCAAACCTTGTACCATTTACTGTTGTTAAGCATTTTGTGGTCCTTTAGCCTCAGTTTTTACTGTTCCATTGAAATTAGTGCATTAGTATGTATTAACACATTTCATGTTCCCCTGAGTTGTAGTCCCAAATACTGTATACATTAACAAGTGATTCTACTGTATTTGATTTTCTTCTCATGCTATGAAGAAATTATTTTTTGATGTTATTACATTGAATTTATTTCCCACAAGGATCCTTCGTCCCAGCACCCAGGGAAATTCTCTGTTCTTCACCGCTGGTTCAAGGAAGAACAGCACAAGCACACTCCTCCACTTGCCCAACAGCAGCAGCAACAGCAGCAGCAACAGCAGCATCAGCAACAACAACAGCAGCAGCAACAAGTACAACAACAACCACAAATACAACATATCCAGCAGCAGAATCAAATATATGACAAAAAATTAGACAAAAAACAAACACAGCAGTTGGCAGTATGGTGAGACACATTATGTTTTATATAAAATAGGAATTACTATTTCACTTTATGGCTTATGACACCTGAGTGAGTAACCTGCAAGATCCAGAGCTGGTAGGTGTCCCAAGAGAGGGTTTACTGTTGTATAGAGGACATACAGAAGGTTTTATAGCTGGATAACACTGTTCTTGAAGACAGAGTTGTGTAACAAGCTGGAGGTAAGTAACCATCTTAACCCAAGAATCCAAGTTTATGCCAAAATTCAAAGATGGTTAATTGGTAGGTAGTAGGCAGCTACCACACAGGGAGGTACTACCACCTGGGAAGATATTGGCAGCATAATGTGTTGTCTAATGGTAGACCCTGCTGCCATATGTGACCAAGTCCCAGGTTGATGATCTGACTTTCTGCCTCATTTACACACAATTGCAGGGTCTCAATTGTTTCTCTTAATATTGACAACACAACAGTCACACAGTATATTGTTTCTCGCTCTTGATCTTTTCTTTTCTTTTTTTCCTTTATGGTTCTTTATTATTATTATTATTATTATTATTATTATTATTATTATTATTATTATTATTATTATTATTGCAGTGTTGTTATTATTACAGGTATTATTATTGTTATCATTTTTATTTTATTACAGTATTTTTATTTTTTTTTTATTATAAATTTTACTTATCTGTATTATTATTATTATTATTATTATTATTATTATTATTATTATTATTATTATTATTATTATTATTATTATTATTATTATTATTATTACCCCCCAGGCCCTGATGTGGGTCAGTGACCTGTGCCTTGGTGGGCTGATCCCATTAAAAAAAAAAATACTAGTCAGTTACAGAGTCTGGTGAGGAGCTTCATCTCTACACATGCATTTTATTATGAACTTACAACTACAAATCATGTGTGTGGTTTGGTGTCCATTACCCGGTATGCAAATTTCATTGTACGGGTATTTGTTGTGTTGTACTTAATCCTAATGTATTATTGGTGTTGACCAACAAAATGGGATGAACTTTCTTATTTAGTGCTAAGGATTTTAGTGATACTTGACCACACCTATGACTCGGTCCTTCAGTATTGCCCTTAAGATATTTTTGTGGCACGTGTACCTCTGATGTGGAAGAAAATAGAAGTGTCTAGGAGTCATGTGTGGCCCTATATAGCAGCACAGTGCTATAGTTTTTGACTGTTAGAAACAAGTTTCAGACATATATCCTGTCCTTTGAGCTTACTCTTTGTGTAGTTTATACCTTATGAACAGAATGTGTTGCTCCAATTATTTCCAATAAAATAATATATTTCCAGTTTGTCTCGTGATGTTCCTCCTGAACTGCAAGGTGTGTCTGTGAAAGATTTAGTTAAAGCTATAGGAGAGTCTCGGGCTAATGGTAATGGTGCCACTCCACCTCGCACCCCGCCTGCTACACCAAAACGGCTGTCACGCTCCTCAAGCCCGAGAGCAATTCCAGTGGGTCCTTCTGGAAGTGCTACAGTTATACAAGGATCTGGAACTTCCCCGCGCCAGATATCAAGATCTTCCAGTCCAGTACCTATTCCAGGTAGGCTTTTTTAAATGGCTTAGTTTGAATAGGTATGGAATTTATTGACATACGGATACCTGTATTAGTCAATGGTGAAGGAAACAAGTCATCTGCATGATGCTTGACATATTTCCCTCTCACAGTCCAGGAGTCAGGGGCTGGTAGTCCTACTTTCTTCTACAATAAATTCTTGTTCATACATGGGGTAGCATCCATATAGGGGTCCTATGATTTTTAATTGTACAATTATAAATCCTTCAGTTAATTGGTAAATAATGGTTCGGGTCCAGTAACCACCAAGAACATTCATTACAAGTGAATATGATTTTTTTAGACAAATGAATTAGTTATATGATATCAAAGGAAACAGAGACTCAGAGAAACAACTTTACTCCTAACATTGTGTCTTGATGAGGTATTGATAAGTTGGAATACATAATAAGGCACCACCAAGTTATGCTTCAGAGGGAATGTGTCCAAAGAAATCAACATTGGAAGAAATGTTTGTTCCATTATTTCTCCCATGGTCATGCTTATAAGGACAACTGTGGCTGATAAATCTACATTCTGAAAATACTAGATGTGTGATACAGTACTGTACAGTATCTGAATTATTTTGATCTGTAGGATTGTTTACTGTAATCTTCAATTTTTGTCCATAATTAACATATAAATCCTAATTTAATTTTGTTTATTTTTTTGTAGGTCGTGGCAGAGAAAGTGCAAGCAGTTCTCCTCTACACAGCTCACCGCGGGCAACTGGTGTGTCACCATTAGTTTCAGGAGCTGGTGTTGGAGGAGACAGAGCAGCTGGTAGTCCTCCATCTGCAATTCGCAGTGCAAATGATTCTCTTAGTGATACAAGTGCATTTGTGTCCAGTTTAACACAAGATATGTCTCATTCACCGAGCGTTTCCTCTCTGCCAACTTCAACACCCAGCACTCCAAGAAGGGTAAGTGTTGTTGTAAAATCATTTTGAGGAGCAGAAAATATACAATACAGTTTATGGGTTATGAACAAGCATAATTCTTAAATAAACATTGTATGTAAGATTTGTGAAAGACTTGAGGCTGCATGAATAAAACTCACCCATGTAACTTATCATTGAGTTAGCTGGGAATTGGAAAGTAATTACAGTATTGCCATCTGGAACAGAATCGTCTCACTTGGTCACACCATTGCACTTTCTTAATTTGAAATCTTCCCTTTTCTATTTTATAACCTTACATCTGGATCAAGCAACTCTGTCTAGCCAGCACATCTATGGATAAAGCCCCGGTCCTCAGGGCCTGACTTACTACTGGGATCTAAAAATTAATTAAATTTTATTTCTTTTATCAAGAGCAATTTTAAAGAATTATTACCCTTTTCATCTCAAGAGTAACCTTCTAAACTTCAGGCATTAATTAAGTAGTTTAAAGTTGTTGATCGTGAATTACCAACTTTCAAAAAATATTGTTACCAGAAGCTTTGTGGAAAATATATATATTTTTTCTAATTCATGCTCTCTTTGAAGGGACCATTTTTTAAGATATGTTTTGGTCCATCCTTGAATTGGATGGACCTAATTGTATTAACTTTTCTGCTTGCAATATGAGGTCAAGTAAACTTTACTCTTTATGTCTCAAGTTAACCAGAATATTACTGTATAGTGTATTTCAATCATACCCAACACTTTAAAAGGTAGTGATCAATCCTTAATCACTCAACTAAACAAACAAAAGACATCTCTCTTATTTGATTGTAAAATAAATTAGTTCTCTTTTTTCTTCAACAGGAACCATTAAGCACCAGTCCAAAAACAGTAACCCAGACAGCAACTCAGACCAGTCCAGAGGGAATCAAGTTCAATATTGGCTCGACAGGTTCAAGAGATGAAAATCTTCGACTGTCACCTAAAATGACGCGTAAAGATCGTTCTGGAAAGCCACATAGAGGGAAACGTGATCATGCCTTGTCTCCTGCATCGACGCAACGAGAAAAACCGGGCCCTAGTCGTGACAAGGTGAAAGAGGCCATGAGTCCATCTGTGGCGGAATGTTTACGGGCAATTTTTGCTGCATTTCTCTGGCACGAAGGAGTTGTTCATGATGCCATGGCTTGTGCTTCTTATATAAAATTCCATCCGGATTTAACAAAGCAGGGAACTTTTCACTGGAAGCCTCGATCAACTACTGGCGCAAAATCTGAAAAACTAACAAAGGAGCAGAAAGCTCGACAAAGACATTCAGTAGAAGTGAGCACTTACAGCTACTTAAATAATGTTACCCTCCAGAACACAGATGATCTTCTTAAGCCAGGAACCAATGCCAACATCAATGAAGTGCCCCGTATTAGTGACAATAGTGACGATGAGGCGGCAAATAGAGCTGGAGTGTGTTATGTTCAGGGACCTCAGGGACAAAAACTAGCAACAGTAATGGAAGGAGGTTCTGGACCGGATCCTCCAGACTTGCCTCCAGTTCTCCGTCACGTTGTTCTTTTGTGGGAGGAACTCACGTCTAGCTGTCTTAAGGCTGTTGCTCAACAGATAATACTTCCGTCGCCCACTGTTCCTGCACGTTTGAAAAAGTCAGACAAAGTTAAAGAAAAGAGCGACCGTGAAAAGAAAAAACATAAAAAGAAATCGGGCGGCATTCCCATGTTTGGTGTCGACCCAGTAGTAGGAGAAGACGAGGACGGCGTGTGTGAACTGTGCGGGAACAGTCTTTCTCCCGAGAGTATTGAACAGCACTTTCGGACTTTACACCCGGGTTGTGGTGGGTCTTCAAAGGGCTGTGGGTATGTGGGAACGCGCTGGAAGGTCTTCCCGACCAAGGACCGTGTAACTCAGCCGTGTGGTGAGGTGATTCGTGGGTGTTTCCACATGTGTTGGAGTTGTCGCAATAAACATAAAGGACAATATAGTCAATTTTCTGGTAGTAAAATAAGTAATGGTAGAATAAAAAGAAAATCCAATAGTAAGTTGCTTTCTCCTCTCCCACAATTGGATGCCCATGTGATAATGAGGAACAATGCAATGTTTTTACTGGACTTAGCAAGTGCAGCGACGCCAGCCATCCCGTCTCGAAGCCACGTTCCAAGAAGATCACCTTGTGCTATGCCATCAGTGTCTCTTAGCCCAGACAACAGTCCTTTCCCAAAGGTAAGAATACAAATAAAAACATTATTGTTGAAACTTTTCTAAATGAATGTTTGGAGAATATTTGATTTATGCATTGTTAATGGCATCACCATCACTGTGATCATCAACATGACCCATTATGTGGTCCTGATGTCACACTACTATTCCAAAAATATAAGTGAACAGTAAGGTGGGAGCCTTTCTACTGTACTTCATTCTAGATGTAATATTCCTCTGCTGGTCCTCTCTATAATAAACTCCATTAATACCATAGATCTCTTAATTCCAAAAGGAACAGCTGATTCTTTGGTAAGGTTGATGTCAATAAAAACATGAGTCACTCAGCCTCAGGCAACTTCTCCTTACAGTACAGTAGAGTATATGTCTCTGCTGATTCTAGGTAGAAAACAGGTTTACAGGAAACCATCCCAGTGAAATACTGTATAGTGGTGCAGTACCTCTTCCTCTGTGTCAGTTGGTTGGACCGCCAAACACTTGAGTCTGGCTGGTCGTTGTCTGTAATCTGCTTGTTAATTGGATAAATAAGTGGAAATGTAATTTTTTATGTCATTGCATGTGTATGAGAATGTAGATACAATTTAATGTATCTATAGTTATATACAGTATAACTTTTAGCACATGACATGTGTACTTTGTTCAATGATCATAACAAATGCCAATAGACCATTGGTTAGTAAGACATACATTGTATACACTGTGTGAGAATCAAAACTCCAGACCTAGTGTACATCTTTATTTAAGCCAAGAAGCTTTCTTTCTACTGTCACCCATAATACAAGTCAGAGTTGATCTGTTTAAGCTATTTTGAATATACTATACCAACCAGCCTTCCCTTACCATCAGACCCAGTCTCACATAATGGAGATGAGACACAACAGTTGGCTTCATGAGGCTGGAAGACTTATAGTCATAACTCTGTCCAGTTAACACACATGATGCTGAGGTTGCTGTCTGCCATGTTTTATTTCAAGGTCAACCTGCCATTTTGATATTCATTAACTACTGTAGTTGGCTGCCACTGCGATTAAATGCATCCCATCAGCTCTGCCAGGGCTCTAGGTACTACAATAACCATTTGTTGAGGCCTCTTATGACACACAAGGGATAGTTTGTGTTGATTATCACTAAGAAGTGAGTTAAGTTTTGTGATATTCAGAAATTAGGTCAATTATAGGATGAGTCCTATTAATAATGAAATATTTTGTGTTATATAATGACATCCTCTTTCTGCAGGTTGCATTCCAGTGTTTGCACACCCTGAACTGTCAGCAGCAGCACCTTAACCAACTGCGAGAAGACCTCCTGTTGCACCACACCTTTCACTCAGCAGATAACACAGACTACCGCAGCAGTTCTGCCGAGTCTCGTGATAACAATCACAGGGAACACTCACCCTTCTCACCCCCAGGTACAGTACAGTACTCTATATCAGTTTGTGATGTGATGCTTCATGACTAGGTAGTACAGTACTGTACTCTTAACTATACTGTGTTTATATGTTAAGACCCGAGTCTACTGGCTTTATGATATCTGATTCATGTCCAGGACACAGGACACAGGACACACTCTCTTGACTTACTTACCGGGGTACTAGTGGACACATATTGCTTAGTTTTATAGTTCGGAGAACAATACAGCAGTAGTGCAGGAACTTGTGTTGGAAGCTGTACAGTATTCTTCAGTGTGGTATATTCCTGTACTCCTTATGACTGGCCAGACACCAGAGTTATCTTTAGCCTGGTTCATTTTCTTATCAGATATTATATGATGCCAATTCCATCTGACTTCTTTCAATGAATGATTTTATTTGAATTTTTTATTTTTTTTGCTTTTCAAACAACAAATACTCTCATATTGTCTTTATTACCGAGGCAGTTATTTGGAAGACTTTCTTTTCTTGTGGGCTTAGTACTGTACAGTAGAAATAGATTATCCATGCTATTAATGTGTTACTTAAATCTTTCTCATCTTCATAAGTCAGGCTGATCATTTAGGGACATTTGAGGAAATTCCTCCTATAATTTTATAAATCAGTTAGCTCAGTTCATTATAATGATAGCAAGTGTACTGTATATAGAGTAATTGTAATACAAACCACTATTTTTCCCTCAAGGAGCTTCACACCAAGAATCTCCTGCATCTGACACAGAGATGCCTCGGGGCCGTCCATTCCATCGATCCATCTCAGTCACAGTTGGTACCTCAGGACAAGACTGGAGCTCTGCAGCAGCATCTGCTTCAGCCTCTCAGCTTGAACATGACCACAAAGCGACTGTTGTTCTCAGGAAACGCAACAACAGTAGTGGGGAAAATGCAGGTATGTGCTATATTATTTAAATGAACAATAAGGTTTTCTTGGAAGACAATTTGAAAATAAGAAAATAATGTAGGTTTTTAAACCAAGGAATAAGAATATAAGTTCATTTTTTCTTGTTCACAAATTGCATTAGATTGATACTATAATTACTTAATAATAACCAAATAAATGGTAATTAGCTCCAGTATAACTCCCCTATTTAGAGAAGAGTAATTTTTCTTGTCATGAAGGAAAGAGCAGGATAAACAACACAACCTGAGTCACACCAGTCCCCTGCTTTACCTCTACTGTGCTGTGTTGTGCTGTATGGCTGTAAATTTATTACTAGTGGCAGCTGTTCCTCTGATAACACTCACCATGTTATTTATTTATTATCCTACACTTCAACAACCCAAAACAAGGTATAAATTTCATATACCAGTAGATATTCAGTAAAATTATCATACACATTGGTTCACCATGTACTGTATATAGACACAGTAGGTATATCAACATCATCACAAGGTTTGGACCCAAGTACAGTACATCACATTCCCAGAGTGGTAAATCAGCAAAGATGAACACATTGTCTTTTTCACATGTTTTCACAGACTTAAAATTAATCTTGTACAGGATACATCTCATATATGATTACAGTGAACCCTCACTTTACGCGGTTAATTCAACCCACAGGGTACCGCGGAAAGTGAGAAACGCGTAAAGTGAACAACATAACATATGGGATTAATTGAAATAGAGACCGGGCCGACCCCCAAACTCCACTTTTTCAGACACAATACCTACGTTGTAGTAAACCTAACTTCTTAATTTTATGATGGTATGCACACACAATTAATAATTAAGAGAAATATTAATAATATTAGGTTTTTTAACACTTACATTAGTAGAAAAGATGGCTGGGCACACGGGGATGGGGGGTTGGTTCCGAGGCAGAGGGCAGATTATTGGCCCTCACCTGTATCACTTGTATCAATTGTATCACTATCCACCACAGAGGCTTGCGGGGCCTCTTTGTCAAACCCCTCAAAGTTCATGTAAGTCCATATCCTCACTATAATTATCACTATCACTGACTTGGGCCGGCTGTGGTGGGTGGCGGGTGAAGAACTCGGTAATGTTTTGATGACTGGGCGACCTTGTGCGCACCCTGCTCGCGCCGCTTGCACAACATGGCGGATGGCGGGAGAGATGGCGGGAGGTTTGGATCCAAAAATGGCACGGCTCGCCAGCCGCTCTCCGCGTAAAGGGGTACACGCACCGCGGAATGTGAGCATTCCGGTTTCGGCAGGGTAACGCGGAATGTGGGACCGCGTAAAGCGAGGGTTGACTGTACTGTATTGTAGTACTGTACTGTATTGTACTGTATATGATTACTGTAGTGTACCTACTCAGGTTATTAAGATAATACAACCAGAATGTTTAGTATGGACACATGACCTAATAACAGTACCTCCAGTAGTTTCTTCATTAATTGGTTTACAAGGATGAATCTCATATTTGTTTTATAAAATGGATCCTGGGACAGTACTGTATTTACAAATATACAGCACTGTACTGTAATTCATTTCACACTACAGTGTAGAGTATTTAATAAAAGGGAAAATAAAGTCAGCTGTATGGCACTGGGAATTCTTTAAAGTTAGTTAGCTTTCAATTAAGTACTGCAGTTACTAGTTAGTGATATCTCTGTTAGTCAGAACAATTGGTGCAGAGCACTTTTGGGAATGAGAGATTTATGGGTAATGAGACGACTCTGTCAAAGCCGGAAAAAATCCCCCATCTCTGGAATTTTCCAGGTAACGGAAAAATTTTCTTGGAAGCTCCAGAAAATGCGCCTGAATTTTCATCTCACAAATCCAGAAAAAAATATCCCCAGAATTTTCTGGGTACCGGGAAAATTTCCTTGAAATTTTCCAGAAAATGTACCTCTTGGAAAATTTTTCCCCAAAGCTGGAATTTTCCGCAAAATTTCGGCTTTGGGAATGATTTTCAGAAAATTTTTTTATTCCGGCTATCGGAGAGTTCTGGGTTTGAGGGATTCCCGCTAACGGAGATTTTACTGCATCATCTTCCTTTACAGGAGAAAATATTTGTATAAACTTTGTGATAAATGAGGGATTGGTCCTGGAAACCTTCTATGTTGAATGAATAGTCTGGATCATCACCTTCAGGAGGAAAGGTATAAAGGGAAAAAGAAGTTAGGATTAATACTGGAGTTACCTTAGTAATCTAAGTATTAAGGTTGTGATTATTTATCTAAAACTAATACTCACTGTTTTCATTTTCCTGAATCAGTTGATAGTGGTGGCAGCTCCCTGTTGGCTCACCCGTCAGCAGCCCTGGAACGTCTGGCTGTGTGTATTGAGCGAGGGGGCGGCCCAAATGGCGACCCAGGTGGACGAGCGCGGCAGGTCATCATCAGACCCATTATGGGCTTTATATTCCAGAATCATGACCTGGAAACCCTTGCCTTTGCAATGAGACATGCAACTCGAAAAGCAGCTGCAAGGGTTTATGCAATGCAGGTACAGTACTGTGAAAAAAAAATTATCAGTTATATAAATTTTCACTTACAGTATACAGTACTGTATTAATATATTGGTTCACTGAAACAGGCTTTGAAAAGTTGAGTCTAATAAGAGTCAAATCACTTGATCCAGCACTTGAATGCTCACTAGGCTTTCAGTCAACCATTGGATCAAATGGATTTAATCTTCAACCTTGGTTCCAATTAATGAGATGGCAACTTGTAGCTAAACTTTATTTGCCTGGGTAGTGTATCCTTACACATCAGCATGCTACTCTAATGGCAAACACAGACTCTGACACAGTATATGGAGATACAGTGTATTAAAGGTTCTGTGCTTTTTCTCATTAGTCATAAACATAGATTTTCATACTTCAGCTTTTCTATTTCTTTTACCTACCCCCACCAGAAAACAGAACTAGGGTATAATAAAACCTTCCACTGGAGTTCAAATATTTATGAAAATTGGTTAACATTTACTTCTGTTGAAATCATTGCCAAATTTTATAGTAGTCTTGGGTGAAAGAAATTACTGTATTATCCAGCTTCAATGAATTTGTTTGTCTCTGTAGTTTTCTTTGTAACTTATTCCTTCTATCCTTAAGTTGAGATTGTCTAATGTAAAAATGCTTCTTGTTTTATGTGTACTGTATATGTGGTGTTTACTTACATTGGTCTTACAGGCCCTTAATTGGTTATTGCGAAGTGTGACTCAACCAACTTGTCTACATGACTTGTTGTGGTGCTTTGTTGCCGCCCTCACTCCCTCCAGTACTCCCTTGCCTCCCCCGCCTGATGACCATAATCCACAAGACCAACATCATCTGAGAGACAAGGCTCATGATACGGTGAGAAATTATTTACTCTTATTAAAAGAAAAAAGAAAAAAAAACTTTATATGTAAATGATCAGTATTTTATCTTTCTACCAAGTTAAGTGAAAAGATATATTCGATGACAGGATGGTGACATGGTGGTGTTAGAGCATCCGTTGAGTGATGTTACTCTGGCGGGTGATGCAGTCCATCCACTACCCCGGACGTTTCATCAGCTGCTGCAGACAGTTGCTGACCTCATGATGCTCCTCCCACCAGGATCACCTCTGCAGATGATGGCTGTTAGGTAGGGCAGAATATTATGGTTATATGAAGCCTTTGTGTGTGTGTGTGTGTGAGAGGTGTGTGTATTTATATGTGTGTGTGTTTGTGTGTGTGTGTGTGTTTGTAAAATAATAATAATAATAATAAACGGTTTATTAATAGAGTTGCAGCCGGTGGCTGAAAATATACAAACTTACATTTGATTTAGACATAATGATTTGCGTTGAATACATTTACAGGGCTGTACAGTACATAAATCAGGAGTTGTTTATTATTTTAACAATAGATGGGATGGTGCTATTCGTATATCTATCGGTGCGGGCTCTTTATGGGCTGAATTTTGTTGTAGTGGTGGACTGTGCGAGGTGGGTGGGGGACTGCCGGTGGCAGGAGGTTGCGATGACGAGGATGGTGCAGTAGTCCACTGCCAAACCTTGCTAGTGCGTGGTGGTGGAGGTCACTGAGGGATGGCATTTCCAGGGTGGAGAGAGCGTTGTTGTAGCCGGGGTAGTCTGCGCCGAGCATGATTCTGCAGGCCCTCTTCTGTACCTTCTCTAGCCGATGTTGTTGGGTGGAGTTGAGAGAAGACGACCAGGCTGGTGACGCATACGTTAGTTTGGGGAGAATAAAGGCGTTGTAGATAGTCCTCAGCTCTGGCGTGGGTGTCCCAAGTGACCTAAGTCGTCGTAGCATGTAGAGTCGGTATGAGGCTGCCTTGATTGTGTTGTTTACATGGGCCTTCCAGTCCAGTTTGTGGTCTATGGTAACACCCAGGAGTTTGACAGACTGCACTTACTGGAGAGGATGGGCACCCACTGTGACTGCTGGAGCTTGCACTGGAGTGGTGGCGGTATTGATGTGCATGACTACGGTTTTGGTGTGGTTGATGGTGACCTTGTTCTCCGTAGTCCATGCCTGTAGCCTGTCCAGGGTGCCTTGTAGCGATGAGTACGTAGTCTGGTGCGGTGTTGTCCACTGTAACCCCCACAGTGCAGTCATCCACAAACTTCCACCTGTGAGGAGTGTTCGATAGAGCGTCGTTGATCAGGATGAGGAAGCACAGTGGTCCCATCTTGGTCCCCTGGGGAACACTGCAGGTGAGGTGTTGGAATGTGGAGACAGAACCCTGATACCTCACTGCCTGACGACGTCCACTCAAGAATTCAGTGAGCCATGAGACCAGGTTGGTGGGCAGCCCTAGTGCAATGACCTTGTTGATAACAGTGCAGCGATCAACAAGGTCAAAAGCCTTTCTGAAGTCAACAAGGGCAATGGCCAGTGATGTCTTACGTTTCTGCAGGTTTTTGTGAAGGAAAGCCAGAAAACTAACTAAGCAGTGTGATGTAAAGTAGGTCCTCATATTGCCAAATTGCTGTGGATCAATTGATTGATAGATTCTAGCAAATGGCCACTCAAAAACAAAGTCTTCACAGAGTAGACTGGGTATGGGGGTAATTGCAACTGGCCTGAGTTTGTAAGGGGACTGTGGGATGGAGACCTTGGGGATAGGGGTGACAAATGTGATTTTCCATTCATTAGGGCATTTGCTTTGTCTGAGGGATGCATTAATAATAGAATAGAGGGGGTGGCAAGTTCGACTGCAAACTCCTTGTATATTTTGATTGGGAGGTCAATTGGGATCGTGGAGCATTTGGATTTAAATTTCAGGAGTTTGTTGGCAATTTCAAATGGTTGAACACTGGGAGGGGGAAGGTAAGTAAGCCAGGAGGAGAGTGAGGTCAAGACTGGGTAGGGTATGACATATGGTAGCAAAGTGGTTATTAATTATCTCAGCTGCCTCCTCACTAGGTAAATGTGAGATGAAAGGAAGTGTGGGAGACTGACGGTTAAGACCACAGAGATCTTTTACCTTGGAGTACCACTGACCGATGCCGACCTCCTTGAGGCCGTGCACTTTCCTGGGATAATAAGACTTCTTGGCTGACTTGATTTCCCTGATGACCTGGTTATGTAGACTTTTGTACAGGCGGTTGTTAGTGTAGTATGCCTTGTTGCGTGCTCAATTAGTCTTTTGATACGGGTGTAATCCACGGACACCATTGGGGTGGATCCTCAGTGTCTTGGCTGGAAAGAAGTGGTGTTAGGCTTTGGTGATAGTGTCCAGGTAATTGTCCCACTTGTTCTGTACATCGTCTACCGTGATCACTCCAGTCCAGGGATACCAGGGTATCCATTGTCTGAAACGCCGCATGGCAGCGTCAGGGGTAGGTCGGTAAGTCCTGGTGGCAACTGCCGGTCGTGAGATGGTAGGTGTAGGTGACCACAGTAGAGACATGTGGGGGCTGGAGGGGAAGGTAGTGGTTGCTGAGATCAGTCATGATGAGGACAAGGGTGGCATTCCCATGTGTGGGAAAGTCAACTATTTGTGTAAGGTGGAGGTGTTGGGTGATGTCACTGATGTCAAACTCATTAAAGTCACTGCATATCACTAGTTTAGCACATGGAAATCTGGATCTCAGGGAGTCAGCAGTGTCTATTATATGTGTAATCAGTACGTTGGTGCGCGGGGGGGGGGGTGATAGCAAACGTAAACAATGAGGGAGGCAAGCTGACGGGGGTGGGAGGTGGGAGTGACCTGAACCCACAAGGCTTCTACATCCTCAGGTACATTAACACCTAGGGGTGATGGTTTGAGGTCACTGCGACAGTACAGCACTACACCACCACCTCTCCTGTCCTTTCTAAGGAAGTGAAATAACTCATAGTTTTCTATGGCACAGATCTCAGGAACAATTTGCCACGCCTCGGTAATCGTCACAATACCTGCACCAACTCTCTCACTCTGTGTGCGTGCGCGTGCGTGCGTGCGTGATAATTAAAGGTTTTTTGAAAGAGCATGGCAGCCGGAAGGCTGAAAATATACAATTACATAATCAGGGAATGGTTCTCTTGATTTACAAATGATGTACAAGTAACATAAGTAATACAAATATGATATATAATAATTAGGTGTTGATAATTTTTACAATGGTTGGGACTGGGCTGTTCTTGTAGCAATCAGTTCGTGCTCGTATGGGCTGGATGCGGTTGGGCAGGTGTGTGGCCACGTGGCCAGGACCGTAGCTTGGGGCAATGCAGGTTTGCTCCATCCTTCAGGTTAGGTCAGGTGAAGCCGTGAGGTCAGGTCAGGTCAGGTTAGGTCAGATCCAGCCACAATCAGTATTGCTGTGTTTTTGTGCTTTTCCTTCAAGTTGAAATTGTCACATTTGTTTATCACTTGTGGGTTGATCGTCAATCTTTGCACTGTACTGTTGGTGTGAGGATGTTGATAAATCCAGATGGGAAGGCGGAGATGGGGGAGGGGACGGCCCGACAGACCGGGCTGGCAGCTGTCTCCATGATCAAGAGACCACGGCCTCGTTAGCGGGCAGCGCCAACTACACACGTCCTTACCCTATGAAGGCTGAGGGAAGTGTGTGTGTGCACGTGCCGCGCATTAATAGACTGTTTATTAATAGAGTTGCAGCCGGTGGCTGAAAATATACAAACTTACATTTAATTTAGACATAATGTGTGTGTGACATTCTTAAGTAAAGTATAGTAAGACAAATTTGCATATTATAGTTTAAAAATACTGTACAGTATCATAATTTATTTTTCTGAGAGGTGTTTGGGTAAAGGGGAAGAGCCAGAAATGAAAGATGATCCTGGTATTGTTTTTTTGGGAAGACAGTCTGTAGGTAGGTGGCTTGGAAGCTCTCCCTGTGGCTTGTGACTATAGTAGTAGTCATTTGGAATTTAGTAGAAAATGGTGAATTGGTCTTAGAATCTGAGATGTTGGGTGGTAGTTCTGACAATGTGAATGCTGATTAGGCAGTTACATAAAGAGATCTTTCATTCTGACACTCAAACAAAACACTGAAGAGTGAATAGAACATCTATTATGGTCCAGCTTATACTACAGATGGACAAAGTAAACAAGATAATTTTGTTAACTTGATTTTTTTTACCAAGGTTTGAGTGTGTGTCTAATTACATTATTTTCTTTCTTTTTTCATTTTTACTCCTACAGATGCTGGGGTCTTCGCTTTACTCCGACAGATCATGATTTCCTCCACCAGAGTCACGTGTTCTCTAATATTTCCAAGATCCTTTCTCGGTCAGAAGAGGTGTTAGGTGCTGGAGAGGAGGGAGTTACATCCATGTATGAGAGCCACGGACCAGTGAGTCTAAGATGTAGTATTTGTGTTGACTCTCCCACTCTTGATGGTAATAATGACACTTCCATTCAGGATGATTAATGAACAGGATGTCTCTTTGTAAACCTTTCATAAACAGAAAATTCATAGCCCCAGTAAATAAAGACCTGTTTCTTCATTGACTTGTGTTATGTCATGGGAGGCTGGCAAAGGCAGGCTCTACCAGGCAGAGTTTAACTGATATGGTTCTCACATGTCACTTGTTTCTTTCATTCATTCATAGAATAGAATTACATACCCAATCCTTTTCGTAATAGTCCTACAAAAAGTGTTTAATTCTTTTTCATATATATCCAGGTAACAAGTATGGTGGAGTGCCTGCGTGACCTAATGAGTGAGTGTGAGATCCGGGCCTCAAGCAGGCAAGCAATGGTCCCGTCTCTAACTGACGCTTCTACTGAAACATTCTGGGAGTCGGGTGATGAAGATCGTAACAAGACAAAAGCCCTCACCATCACTTGCTCTCCAACTGTCCGGCCACAAGCTGTATACGTTCATATTGATAATTGTAGAGATCTTGGGGTAAGTTTTCTCTTCATTAATAATATATAATCATTCAACATTATACAGTACAATAGTATATCAATATTCACTCTATCACTTGCCTTAACACTCAAGGTGAGAGTTATGATCATAATGTTCATCATTTTACAGCCATGTTAGGATCATCTTCATGTGTAAGTGTACAGTATTAATATACTCTCCAGAAGGGGATGGATCACTGGATTTATAAAGCTCCATGATATCCATATTAATATAAGTTTTAAGTTTGTTTTCACTTCCTCCTTGTTGTTGATGTAACTACAACATAAGTACACTGTCTGCCACCGAGACTGCCTGAAGTTTACCCCACAGGGAAGAATCTCTTCCATTATTTACAATATTCTTACTGTAGTTAAAGTACAGTGTATGTTATCATTTGTGTACATTTGATGCAATAGTTAATATAATATCAAATTTTCTTGTAATGGAGAAAATATTTAGATATAAGATAAAAAAGATTGAAACATTCCCATCTCTGGTTTTATGTAAGAGTTACTATCCTATCAGAGATGTGTAAAGTAAATTAATTCTCTTTACCACTTTTCAGAACAAAGTGTCAAGTGTAGTATTCAAGTGTGGTGTAGCCAGCGATGATATGTTAACAGCTAGAAAAGTGGACGTAGAAAGCAGATTTACTGGTTGGCTTCATGCTGTTCTTCCATGTAAGAGTGACTCAGAGTCTGTGTTTAACAGTGCAGTAGACGTAACTTTTAGTCGAGCTAGTAAATAATATTTCAGAAATAACTGATTAATTTTAGTATTGCAGTATTTTGATTTGAAGTTAGTTTCACTTACTGTACATTATTGACATGTGTACTCTTGTGTAACTCTGGCCTGCTGGTTACATTAATATTACCAGACCAGATGTGTAACTCATGCCATATTATTAATGTATTAAAATCTTTATAAAGTGCCTGATCTTTTGAGTTACTTAGAATTATCGTCTCTTAAGCAAAAGTTTGTTTGGTATGTTCAACACAGGTGACTTAATCACCAACATGGTGGTTGAAATAAGGGGACCAGACCAGAGCGTTCGTGTGCGACAAGTGAGGGTGCTTGGTAGTGGTGATGGTGAAGGAGTGGGCTCACGGCCTGTACGGCAGCATTCTCCCCTCACCATCCAGCACCGCGCCTGTGAACAAGAAACCCTCAAAGTGTTCAGACTTATTACTGGACAGGTAATGATATTTATAGGGATAATAGTGTTGTACTTTACTACATATTAATACTATATGTCTGTGTGAATATAATGTATCTGGTTTGAACTATCTGTTGATATCCTTTTTTATTTACACTAAAATAGTGAAAATTCAATTAATTGAAAAAGTAATTTTCAAAGAAAGAGTTTAAATACAGTGTAGTATATGTCAGAAGAGTAAAGTACAGTACAGTACAGTATATAAAGAAAAATAAACTAAGAGAGATGGTTTGTAGTAATCATTAGGTAAGAAATCCAGTTAAAAAGGAAGGGTGTACCTAACAGTGTTGAATATTCACTAGATAAAGAAATTATTTATATTAAAGGATAAAATTATAATTGTGTCCCCATTCTTAATTCTAGGTATTTGGGCGCCTCATAATAACTGCAGAAAGTGGAAACAGAGGAGGAGAGGCAGCAGAGGCCAGTGTGGGGAACCTAGAGGCTGGTGAGGAACAGGAACGCAACAATGACCTCCGTGAACATATGGTCGGCATTCTTTTTTCACGATCAAAACTTACTCATCTTCAAAAGCAGGTGGGCAGGAATTGTTTTTATACAAGTTTTTCATGTGTAAGTAGAATATTGTAGGTAAAAAGGTAAAAAAATAAATCATTGTTAGCAGCTGCAGTCCCTTAAGTTCCTTATTGGTAAAAAAAGGGATAGTTTATTGACGGTGGACCATTGTTTGCATGTCACCATTTCAGATGATAACTTGTTAACACTGTCATCAACATAGAGCAAAGGTTTACAGTTAACACTAACGGTCATGTCATTTACATAACACAGGAACAACAATTGTCTTAGGATACTCCCCTGTAGTACTCCACAGGCTGTCAACAAGGGTGTTAACTTAGCATTATTTATTATGACAATTTGTTTCCTAATGTTAGGATAAGACCTAAACCAGCCAACAGATCCAATAACAAGAGCCCACAGTATATATCATGATCCATTGTGTTGAAGACCTTTTCTAAGTCTAGTGTCACCTTTCCTGTGAAATTTCCATAAGCTATTTGAGTCCTGATGTGACCAGTGAGATGGTGTCAGTTGAGTGTGAAGCCTTAGATGTTTGTTCAGAATATTATCATCATGAAGGTATCTTTCTATAAGTACAGTTCACAGGATACTATATGGCCCATAATTACCTGCAGCGAACACGTCAATTTTCTTATAGATAGGTGTTACTCTTACAAACTTACGCTCATCTGACACAATATTGGTACTAATGGAAAATGTGTTTTACAGGGTTTTTTTTATATATTTTTTTGTTATTTTCAGTTCAAAGGAGCTGTCCCTTAAAAACTCAACTGAGATGCTATCAGTACTGTATATATATTTTCAGGTTTGTGCTCATATAGTCCAAGCTATACGTAAGGAGACAGTGAGAGCCCGTGAGGAGTGGGAGGCTGGACTAAACTGTGGAGGGTTAGGCACTCCAGCTACACCTGAAGAAGGTCAAAATAATCCTCCAGATACATATTGCTTTGAAATGCTGTCTATGGTCTTGGCTCTCAGCGGGTCAGCAGTTGGACGAGCTCATTTAGCCCAGCAAGATCGCCTGCTCAGACACCTGCTGTCACTGCTACACACTGGCTCTGCAAGGGTCCAGAGACAGGTTAGGGTTCAGATTAAATTTTCATGTAATGTAAAGAATTTGCATACCTGTATACCTGTGTAGTATTCATGATATTCTTTCCAGCTTATTAGGGTTTTGTAGTGAATTACAGCAGTATTTATAAAATAATTTATAAAATAATTGTCATCATTTTTGGGATGAAACTACAGGAGTAAGAATAATGTACACTGGACCCATGCATACTTGTTATGGACAGATTTTCTTTATTTTTCTTTGTCTTTCTAATGAGATGTAACCATCTTTCAAGTAATCTTGTCAATTCCTCTTATATCTCAAACTCTTGTCTGTTAAGTTAGTACAGCAATTTATATGTACTGTATTAAATCGTTTTCAACAGGTTGTGGCTCTGTTTCGACGGATGTTGGCTGATGTTCCTCCACAGTCTCTCGCCCTCATCCTGGGTGTGGAGGTTCTCCCTGCTCAAGACTATGCCATACTTCATGCTGCCACCAAAGATGAGGACAGTACATTTGATATTCATGTGTAAGTATCCAGTACAGTAAAGCCTCCGATAACAACGGTTTCACCAACAACTTTTCATATTTAAAACCTTAGTTAATTTAGGACCCAATTCAATTTACGTCCTTATTTCATTCTGATTTATGACCAAAATATAAAAAAAATTATATTTTCATATACGTAGGTTTCCTTGAGTGCTCACGTGTACATTGGCGTTCCACTATCAGTCCCACTTATCTTTAATATCAGTGGTTACTTCTACTGTACAGTCGGCCGTTAACATACGCGGGGGTTACGTAACAGAGATACCCGTGGATGTTAAAAATCCGCGTATATATGTTGCCCCCCCCCCAAAAAAACCTGGTCCCCCCATGTCCTTATTTACCGTATATACCTGTGTGTAGTTCAAGTTTTTAAGACCAAATTATTTGGCAAAAAATTGGGGGTCGACCTCTAAACGGGTAATAGTTTCGTTAGGTTGAAAAATACTTACCAGTAACTACCAGTAAACAATGGAAATGGTGCACCAACGCACCACCAGCTGTGAGTGTCGGTACAGTTGCCAGGGCAGACCTCTTGCATCATCATAGCAAGCCCAAAGTAGCCAAATCCATGGTATGGTAGCACAGGACGATGTAAAACAAAGTATTCATTTATTTAAGTTTATTTATAGATACTGTACATAAATTTTTGTTCATTACATTTGAAACATCAATCTTTGTTAATTAAATTTGAAACAAAAGAAAACTACGATACCGTATTTTCATTAACATATTACATCACAAGTATATTTTACCTTAACTGTGACTGAATGAATATACTTATTCTCAGAAATAAATATGGAAATATAATATTTTTGCTGGAATGAAGGACATATTACAGTGGAAAGTGGGATAAAATTGTGACGAAAGCAATGACTTTCTCTTTCTTTCGTTATTCAAAAGATTTTACCGTAGTCGCTTTTCGAATGGTTTTCAGTAAAAAACTGTTGTACTCGTACTGTATTACAATAATATTCTATCCTATCATTAGCCTTATAATCCCACAACTGAAAACCATTCGAAAAGCGATTACGGTAACATCTTTTGAACGAAAGAAAAAGAAAGTCATTGCTTTCGTCACAATTTTATCCCACTTTCCACTGTAATACGTACATCATTTCAGCAAAAATATTACATGTCCATGTTCTCAGAAATAAATGGTAGTTTTGTTGAAACGTAATGTACAATATTTAATATTAAAATGCAAAAATAGCTATAAAAACAATTAATACACCCGTAATGTACTGGCTGGCATCTCCACTCTTCCCTGCTCCCGCGTCCAAGGTCACCACTCCTCCCAACTCGCTCCCTCCGCTCCCTCCTCACCGTCACTACTGCCGACAACGAACACAAATGTTTTGTGAATAACTGCACCTCCACTTCCTATGTACAGTACTGAACTGTACTGTGCTGTGCATTTTTACAAACAATAAACATGGCAAGAAAAACTATTAAAAAAAAAGAGATAAAAATTTCACTTTACTGTACAGTCACTCAATTCCATAACGGGTGGTGAAGTGGTGGCGACGGTGGATTCAGCTGCTTCCTCACTGCCTCCAGTGATTGATGGTGTTAAATCTCTCCTTCGGTGATCAAAGAACATGGTGATGGGGAGTTGTCGTCTCTTTCGTTCATTTCTTCCATGATGTTTTTGTATGGAGCGAAAACGTCATCCATCCCTCGCATGAATTTCAGGGCACGCACCATGGAGGGGTCCATACTATAGGCCAGGTTTTTCAGTGCCTCAATATTCCTGGTCATCTCCCCCAACTTCTCCAACGTTATTTCTTGATGCTCTTCCTCATCCTCTTTCCCTTTCGCTTCCTCTTCCTTGCCTGAGTCTACTAACTCCTGTAGATCCTCCTCGGTCAGCTCAGTATTGTGCTCTTCAATTAGCTCCCTAATCTCGTCCTCTACCATGTCCTGGAAGCCTTCAGCAGCCACTTTTCTTGACAGTGGCAGGGTCTTTCTGAATATTTTCATTAAAATCCTTCAAAATCATTTTCCTTGTTATCGTCTTAAGCACCAAACAGCTCCTCCCAGTCTTCTCCTTGAACAGGGCTAGAGGGTACGTGTTTTTCGAATCGTTTTCAATTAAAAAAATGTTACAGCACATGTATATTTTACCTAAACTGTGCCTGAATGAATATATTCTCAGAAATAAATAGTAGTTTTGCTGAAACGTGATGTATTTCAATGTAAAATAGGATAAAATACAAGACGAAAACAAACGACTTTACCTAACCTTCGAATGTTCAAGAGATGTTACTCGTTTTTTTAATAGTTTTCGGTTAAAATACTGTTATATTACAATGATATTATATTCATACTGTGCTTGATATACTACATTCACGGAAATGTAATATTTTTGCTGAAATGACGTACGTATTACAGTGGAAAGTGGGATAAAATCGTGACGAAAACAATGACTTTCGCTTTCTTTCGTTCAAAAGATGTTACCGTAATCGCTTTTCGAATGGTTTTCAGTTAAAAAAACTGTTGCATCACAAGTGAATTAGGATAGAATATTATTGTAATACAACAGTTTTTTAACTGAAAACCATTCGAAAAGCGATTACGGTAACATCTTTTGAACGAAAGAAAGCGAGTCATTGCTTTCGTCACTTTCCACTATAATACGTACGTCATTTCAGCAAAATATTACATTTCCATATTCTCGGAAATAAATAGTAGTTTTGCTGAAACGTAATGCATTGCAATGTAAATTAGGATAAACTACATGAAAACAAAAGACTTTACCTAACCTCCCGATGTTCAAGATATGTTACTCGTTTTTTTAGTAGTTTTTGGTTAAAATACTCTTATATTAGTGATATTCTATTCATACTGTGCTTGATATAATACATTCACGGAAATGTAATATTTTTGCAACTACAATGCTGATGTCAACACAAGTGTGGTTACAGCGAGACTGACTGAGTGAGGGAGAGCTATGCGTGTGTGTGTGAGGTTGCGGGAGCGGGCGGTGTCCCGTGTTCGGTGCCGCGCGCGAGTTGAATGGCGCGCAATTTCAATGTACTTCAATTACTTCAATGTACAGACTATTCCTCCGGCGGGGCAATCCGCGTATTTGCAAATCCGTGTATTATAAACCCGCGTATGTTAAGGGCCGACTGTACAGTACATTAAATAACATTAATTAAAACATAAATATTTTTTACAATAATTTTACTACAGCAACAACCAGGGACTTATTTTCTTCAGTTTCAAGTGAATATCTGACATTATGGGTGTAAACACTGACAACAATGCCGTCTCATATCCTCTTGTGTGTTTTAATATTAATCCGAATTATTAATGAATTGTATTGTTCATTTTGCACATAAAAATATTAATTCAACCAAATACATATTCAATAATAAACAATAATGAATCTTTTGTACATACTCGTATTCTTAAAAAGATCAATGACTCGGCATCCTTAAATGAGCACGTATATGTTGGCATTCCCAATCCATCTCTTTTTTTTCTTTACCATTAGTGGTTAGCTACTTCTATTGTTCCATTTATTAACATTAAATAACGATACTTAAAACATATTTATTCATTTTTTTTTACATTAATTTTACAACAGCTGCAACCAGGGTCTTATTTTCTTCATTTTCTCTTGTAGAACTATCGTCCCGGACTCCCGGCTGTAAACACAAACGAAAACAATGGCGTCCCATCTCCTCTTGTGTGACCATATTATAATTCATTTATACAGTAATACCCCGCTTAACGCGGTTATCGCTTAGCGCGATTTCACATATATGCGGTGCCTCTGGTGCCGCCGAACTTTCACTTAACACTGGTTTTTTCCACGTATACGCGCAGAGTGTCCGGCTCGAGACGCTATTTTAAAATTCGCCCCACCCCCACCAGCCTGCCTGCCTGTTTTAGCTCATAAAATTCATACAAATTACCCGGCCAGAATATAATTTACATTGCTGGAATTCTTACAATATGATGATCATTTTGAATATAAACATCATAGATTTTGCATTAGACATACAAATTTTAGATATAATGTTTACTCTGAGTAAATATGTTATTTTTTGTGCAAAATATATGACATTTGTATTCAAAATATTCCTGGTCTTACAAGGAATCCAGCAATGTCAATTATATTATCCTAACTTTAGTTTGAGGTATTATTTATTACTAAAAAGGTAAATATTCTGGTTTTCCCACACATCTGGTAGGGAGGGTTGGTGGGGGATGGGGGGGAGGGAGGGATCGACCGACCATCTGTTACGGTGTGAAGAATATTTTTTTTCTATTATTAACTGAAGATATTTGTTTTAGCTCATAAAATTCATACAAATTACCCGGTCAGAATATAATTTACATTGCTGGAATTCTTACAATTTGATGATCATTTTGAATATAAACATCATAGATTTTGCATTAGACATACAAATTTTAGATATAATGTTTACTCTGAGTAAATATGTTATCTTTTGTGCAAAATATGACATTTATATTCAAAATATTCCTGGTCTTACAAGGAATCCAGCAATGTCAGTTATATTATCCTAACTTTAATCTGAGGTATTATTTAATACTAAATGTTAAAATTTAGTCTTTTCACCCAACATCTCTTGAAGGGAGGATTGGTGGGGGGTGGGGAGGAGGGTTGGGACGGACCGACCACCTGGCGTGGTTGGAAGAGGGGGGGAGGCAAGGTTGGGTACTTTGTTTGACAGATAGTGTCATGAAGAATATTTTTTTTTTTATTAATTGAAGATATTTGTTTTAGCTCATAAAATTCATACAAATTACCCAACCAGAATATAATTTACATTGCTGGAATTCTTACAATTTGATGATCATTTTGAATATAAACATCATAGATTTTGCATTAGACATACAAATTTTAGATATAATGTTTACTCTGAGTAAATATGTTATCTTTTGTGCAAAATATATGACATTTATATTCAAAATATTCCTAGTCTTACAAGGAATCCAGCAATGTCACTTATATTATCCTAACTTTAGTTTGAGGTATTATTTATTAAAATTTAGTGGTTTCCCCCCCAAAATTTCTCAGAGAGGGAAGAGCCAGGAGTGTAGTGTGAGAAGAGGGGGAGGGAGTTGAGTCCATTATTTGAATGGACATTAACTTGGCGACTGTATTTCTCTATTTCTCTTAAGTATTAATTGTGTGCATGTACCATCATAAAATTAAGATGTTATTTTTACTAGAACATAGGTATTGTGTTGGAAAAAGTGGAGTTTGGGGGTCCGGCCAGTCTCTATTGGAATTACAGTAGTCCCATATGTTCTGTTGTTCACTTAACACGGTACCCTGTGGGTTCAATTGACGTTAGGGTACTACTGTATTGTATAAGGTGCATTCAGAAACAGTACTTAAAGAATTTAGTTTGCAATTTTCATTAATTGTATTATTTTGGGGAGAAAAGAGGGTAAAAAGCCACACAAAAGATATGAAAAGGTCACACTAGGGAACGCATCTCATTATTATTGCTTTATTTTAATGGTAATTAATGATTCACGATACGATGATTCACCTTACACTGCAATATTGGAGGACACATTACCGTCGTTATTCGAGGCTTTACTGTACAGTGGTCCCTCGGTTAACGAGCACAATCCGTTCCAGCAGGTTGCTCGTTAACCGAAACCATTGTTTCAATGGGTTTTTGGGTAATTGGTTCCAGCTCACCGAAAATTGCCTAAATTCGACAAAAAAGGTAGAAAAGTACACTTACTTTGAGGTGTGTATGTAGAAGGCTCCTGGATGATGATGGGAATTAGAATGGGGGTGGAGGAGAAAGAAGAAGAGAAGGCATTGGGGTGGAAGAGAAGTCACCCCATGGCGCCATTTCACCCATAAAATTTTAGCTCTCTTGGTGTAATTCAAGATTATTTTCTTGAAATCAACACTGCACTGCATTATATATTGTCAATATGTAAAATATATTTCAAAATGACCAATAATTTGCTTGGAAACACAGAAAAAAAGCGTTTAGTTGAAGAGAGTCTCAAGCAAGATGTTACCTCCACTGAAAACAGAGAGAGACTAACGCCTGTCTGGTGTGTTAACAGGCTGGATGGCACGCCAGAAACTAGTTTCTTTACCTTCAATTATGTTCAGTAATTGTTAAAATGACTAAAAAAGTTAATATTAAACTTTTAAAATTATTGAATAGTATAAACTTCTTGATATTTACTAAAATAGTAAGGAATTTAAGCCCTAAAACCGATTACTGTATTGGCGGACTAATACTACAGTTGGTGGACCGCCAAATGCAAGTGAAAACATGTTGAAGTCGGCTCGTAAAAAACTCGTTAATCGAGGGATTGCTCGTTAACCGAAGTTAAGAATCTTATGGAAGGTAAATCGTTAACCGAGGCGCTCGTTAACCGAGGGACCACTGTACATATATTTGAATTACAGTACATAGAAAGTTTATAACTCTTTAACATTAAGTGACTGATAGATCATAACTGTTTGTGCCACTAGTTTGTTACTTAACATTATCCTCTTCATTACCAATCAGTCTGTTAGCCACTTGGGCAGATGGTCAAGTTTGTTATACACTGTTGGCAAGTACTAGGCATGCATTAGCTAAAGAATAGACTACAGAATAGCTTGAGCACTACCTCCAGCAGTGATCATGCCACTCAATACAGTACAAAGTATTGTGATTCCACTCTTAATGTCCAAAATTTTTGTTTGGTTCTTCATAGGTTATACTAGAAAGTACTTTCAAGTTCTTTTCAAATTTTTCTTTCTAGGTAACCAATAATCTCTACTCATAATTTCCAGACAAGGCATTCTTGATGTGTTCCTGGCTGTGATTGCCAAGGCACTGACTGTTCAACTGAAGACAAAGGGAAGTGAGGGAGGTAAATCGGTGGTGTCCCAAGGCAAGGGTGGAGTGACATCTGTGACCCTCGCCACAACCATGCCAACACCTACTGCCAACTCCCAGCGCTGGTGGCTCCAGGGTTCAGCAACACAGAAACAGGCTGACCTAATTATCAGCTTAATTCGGGACATGACGATAGTGAATATGAATTAGTTCTGGTTATTTTAATTATAATGATATATATTATCAGATATGAATAATGTTATTCATTTTAAATTGTATACTGTACTTGTATTTATTAATTTCATATCTTACTGTAGTGAAGTTAACTTAATTTTTTTTTAGTACAAAGGGTCCTCGTAATTCGAGTGATCTATATCCGTGGTTTCTTATTTATGAGGCCAAATTATTGCTGAACTGTATGTAAAAAGTAACTGCATTTATGAGGATTATAAGGAATAATATTCGCTATACTGCCGCACGTCACCCAACCCCCACTTTAAGTGGTGATTTTCTGGTCCCTGTGCCATAAAGTTGACTTTTATACATTACAATAAAGAATAACATCCTGCAGATCCCAGTAGGTCCAAGTGTCATACCCGGGTCCCATGGTTTGTGATAGCACTTTTTCACTTTCTTTTTTATTCCAATAAGAAAAGATGTAGTTCTTGTCTTTTAACTAGACACCTTACAATTTGGGTGAACATTTTACATGATGTTTTTAAATTCAACAGGGCAAGCTGTCAGACACGTGGGCTAAAGTAAGTAAAGCAGCAGTAGCAGAGAACATCATAAACTTGACTCGTTTGAACGAAAGTGACCGGTCCTGCGCTGCTTCTTGTCTCGCAACACCCACTCTCTGGTTAGCTCTGGCGTCACTGTGTGTTCTTCACCCTGATCACGTCGATGCTCTGTCTTCACAACACTGGCAGGCAACGACATCTTCTGGTGATCCTCACAATCCTGAACCAAGGGTGAGTTTCCTCATTCTGTTAATTAAAGAGAGTACTGTAACTGATTCATTCGAAAGATTTATGGAACATTTCAATAAAAAAAAAAAATGTTAGTAAATAAGGTGACTGGAAATAATACAGTGGTCATCTGATTGATCACAAGAATAAGTACCAAAGAAGTGGTCCTTATAGATTAATTTATTAAGGATCAGAGTCAATTTTAAATGGAAAATCTCGGGTAATACATGGAAGTGTATACTGTATTGATTTTTGGATAAGTTGCCATCACAATACCGGCAGCTGTTTGCGTGGTTCATGTCTCAGTGTGGAGAGTGGCTGTGTGATATTTACTATGTTTTGGTATTCAACCTGTGATCAGGAGCCTCATTCAGCTCAGTTAATTTGATTCTCTCTTCTAACAAATTTGATTTTCTTTGCTTTTTGGTCACAGAAGTATTCTTGTCAATTAACATTTGCTTTGGCGGTAAATCATAAAAGAACAACAATGTTAAATGAGTCAATACAGGCTGTGTGTTAACTGAGGAACAGCTGCCCCTGTGTTAGTTGTAGAAATATAAGATTAACATTTATGAGCTGTAAAAACCTTTATTTATTTATGCAAGAATCTGGGGTCAAGAAATGCATCCCTAGTATTTTCATTAGAAGTTAACTGATGGGGAATAATTCATATAAGAACTGAACTGAACCTTGAGCTCCACTGTGCTGTATACAGATATATAGTGTGCACTGTATTGTAAGAGTAGTACAGATATATAGTGTATACAGTACTGTATTTTGAGAGTAGATGTTTCATAAAGTGGCTTTTTTTTTTTTAGAAATTTTATTGTGTTTGTTAATTGGGTTATTGGGTCATCTATATGATAAATTAATATTCCTTTATTCAACTTAATAAATTTCCTCCAAACACAATAGCCAACTTGTGAGAACCACGATGATGGGGAGACCCTGGCGATGATTCTCTGTGAAGAGTGTGGCAGCAACCTGTGTGGTGAATGTGATCGAATCCTTCACTTACATCGCCGTACTCGTCACCATCATCGTACAGTCTTCAGACAAGAACAGGAGGCTATTAAGGTATGAAAATTCTTTCAGATTTATAATACATAATATTTTAGCTAAAAAGAGGACACGAATGAGATATATATTGCAAGAGATTCTTTACAAAGAAAATTGGTTATATTATACTGCATGTAAAACAAAACCAGGTGGAAATAAGGAAATGAATACTTGCAGAGCTGTTCTAGCTTATCACTGTTAAACCTATTTTTAATTTTATCGATGTTAAAAGCCCAGGTTCATTGATAAGATTCCAGCATGCTGGACACCCCATGGCAGAGGCTGTCACCACCACAGGGCATAAGCAATATAATGACAATATTGAAGTGAATGATATGGTGACAGCCTGTATGTCTAGCAAAGATGTTTAGTTGTGATTTAGACTCAATAGTCACTTTAAAAATTCCATAGCCATAATGGTGGGTTTTATTCTCATGACTAACTGGTAACTTAACCAGCCTCCATGGTCAGTAGCTTCTTGATGGAACATTTTGTGGAGATAAATTTCTTCTCACTTTATTATATCACAGTGGGGTGCTGGTGGTAGAGTGGTACTGCTCTTGCCTTCGCAAGCGAGATGTCACGGGTTCGATTCCCGGGCCGGTGGAAGTTGTTTGGACATACTTCCTAGGCCCCATTAGTCCCTGTTCACCTAGCAGTAAAGTAGGTACCTGGTGTAAGTCGAAAGTTGCGAATTCGTATTCAGGGACAAGTTGTTGGAGCTTCCAATAACTTGATGACATAAACCACTGACTCTTCAGGCTTCTATGCCCTTGACTCTTCAGGCTTCTATGCCCTTAACTCATGAGACATAAAGGCAAGCATGAACTTAGCATGCTTCCTTGTTGGGCACTGTAAACGCTTCTGCGCTTCACCTTACACAAGGATGTAGGGGAGTGCAAAAAAAAAAAAATAATAATAATTATATCACAGTGTATATTACAGTGCTGACATGTTAAAAGAAAGGACCGTCTCTCTCCATGCCAGTAATTTCTGTTGTTTCACTGTAACTCTTGATGACAGTCAAGTAGTGAGACTAACTTATGTTAAGGATCTTAGTATAACTATATGTGTTAGTAGCTCAGTCTGTCATTTGTAAGAAACATTACCACCTCAGGGCTGAGTTACATAAAGTTAGCACAAATTGTCATGTTGTCACAAATTTACAAACACATACTGTAGTGAGTTGAGACTGAGAGACTCATAAAATATTTACCTGTAGGAGATCTTATGTACTTTTAACTTTTTAAGATTATAAAACTGGGAGACTTTAGGTAAGATGCACTATATTCAACCACCTGTCTGTGGAAAGATTTATTGATTATTTCTTGATTACATCAAGAACATTGCTGTGCCCCCATATCAGTGGCAGACTCTGTCATTGGGTGTTACCTATGTTAGGAATCTATCGTTAAATAATGTGTATACTGTATATTGAAACAAAAAGTAATTGTGTAATTCATAAAACTTCTTCAACAACACAATGTTTTATCAACTGCAAGGTGGACCTTCATGAGGGATGTGGCCGGACCAAGTTGTTCTGGCTGCTGGCTTTGGCAGATTCTACCACATTAAAAGCCATGTTGGAGCTTCGGGGAGAGAACCAGCGATCTCGGGGGTCTGTGGCTGCATCAACATGTCGCTTTTGTGGCGCTCCAGCCCAGCCTTCTCTTCTCTCTCCTGCACCAGTGTGTCAAGACCAAGACTGTCAAGTGAGTTAATTTGGTTTATTTATTATTATATGGCTCAGAGTAATATCTGTTCATGTCTTTGACTAGCTATAACTAAATATTTATTTTTCTTGTTCATCCTCACCAGAGAGAAAGTGAGAGGTAGAGAGTGAGCAAGAGATGTAATTTTTCTGTCTTTATCAGGACTACAGTCGTGAAGCGTGCGTTCGTACTCATGATTGTGGTCACCTGTGTGGAGGCCTGAAAGGGGAGTCTTCATGTCTGCCTTGCTTACATGGCTGCTCCAGTACACCTTCACTCAAACAGGATGCTGATGACATGTGTATGATTTGTTTTTCTGAAGCATTGTCTGCTGCTCCTGCCATCCAGGTAAATACACTCCAAAATATGTTATTGAAATATGCTATAGCCCAATGATATAATTTTCAGGTGTGTGAGATGCTTCCTGCTCTTATGGACTCTGTTAACCATATAAAAGTCACAGGACCAAACCTTTATATCTACTGTATACAGCTCCTCCCTGACTTACGACAGGGTTAGGGACCCAAATCCAGGTCATAAGTCGAAATAGTCGTCAGTCGAAAATGCTTAAATAATACATAGAAAATTTAAAATGGGTGTCTCTTTTTCTTCTCAGCACCACAAAACTCTTACTTTTAAGCTTGTCAGCCATTTTAAAGGGAATTACAAATTAAAATTTTGTCTGTGTACTGAAGTTGGGACTCAAAAATACATATTTTGACAAAATTTTGGTACGACTGAGGCAGGTCGTAAGTTGAGTAGGTCGTAAGTCGGGGAGGAGCTGTACAGCCATTCTCTCTGCACTCTGTACCACCTAAGTTCTTCACTTATTTAATGGACCACAACGTTTGTACAATATTACTTCATTTCCTCAATATAATTTTTATTTTATTTTTATATTACAGCTGGAGTGTGGCCATGTGTTCCATGCTCACTGCTGCCGCACAGTGTTGGCCAGACGTTGGCCTGGACCTCGCATTACCTTCACATTTTCCCTCTGTCCTATATGCAAGGTTGGTTAACTCAAAACTAATTAAATGTTTATCTTATATCCTTGCAGGTAAGAATATTGATAAAAAAACAGGAGAATATGATCACTTGTTACTTAATACTGTATAGTATAGTAATTATAATAAGCTACATTAGTAAAAAAAAAATTTTTTAACATTTCTACTGCTGAAAGAGAATTTTCATTTTCAGGTTCGTGTGACCCACGGAGTCCTTGCAGAATTACTTATCCCAATCTCAGTACTGTTTGAAGATGTTCGACGCAAGGCTTTGATGCGCCTGGAGTACGAGGGCCTCCACCGGGCAGAAGCAATATCTACCCCTGGTGCACGCTACTACAACAACCCCGCATCCTATGCCATGGATCGTTACGCTTACTATGTGTGTTTCAAGTGTAATAAGGTAATATGCCGATGCTTATATTTATTTACAGATTGATATGTAAACTATTATTTTCCTGTCCTCACAGTTCAGTTGTCTGCTCATGCTCGATAGTTACTGTATCCTTAATTTCTATGATGAATAAAACTTCAAGTTAGTTAACATCAATATCTTACCACAGTTAATTAAATAAGTGATGCAAACTTCTCAAGATATGTTGTATTATGACCTTATTCACCCCCTTAACAACTCACATGTTATAGCATAAACTTTAAGACCAAGAACCCAGATAAACTATTAAGCAAGTATTATAGCTTCATACTGAGGTAGTTTCTTATAGTTTCTCTGAGGGATTGTCACACAATATGAATTTGCCTGGAGAACATATCCAAGCTTACAGTACAGTAGTGTGATTGGGCTAGAGGCTAAGGTTTAATGTATCCCGTGATGTGAAGTTACTAATTACATTATTATTGGCACAACAGGCATATTATGGTGGTGAAGCTCGCTGTGATGTAGAAGCCGGCCTAGGTGATGAATATGATCCCAGGGAACTAGTGTGTGGAGCGTGCTCTGATGTATCTCGTGCACAGATGTGCCCAAAGCACGGCACAGATTTCCTTGAATACAAGTGTCGCTACTGCTGCTCAGTGGCAGTTTTCTTCTGCTTTGGTACCACACATTTTTGTAATGCTTGTCATGATGACTTCCAGAGAGTTACAAACATACCCAAAGCTGAGTTACCTCACTGTCCTGCAGGTATGTAAAATAGTTTTAATGAGTTATTGAATTTGTTCACAAGAAACCTACAAGCTAATAAGATATATAAATATAAATCATGCATATTTAAAATACTTGATGTAAGAACTTTTACAAAATCTTTAGCCTTTATCTAAGGATTATTTTTATAATTTTTTTATTTAAGAAATAAAAATAAAGTATAATATTCATCTCCAGAGACTTTTGTAAAGAGACTAATTTATATGAAATTTTCAAATGCAATTAACCAATCTCATTGCATTCTTAGCTGTGTTAGCCCCTCACAGATCATTCTCTGATGGCTCTTTGCTTACAAATGAAAGATCATAGTGTTTAATCCCATTTCATGACTAAGTGAAAGATACAAGTGACCTTAAATCCTCTCCTCTTCCTTGGTAGGGTATTTTATCCTGAATCAACTGGATGAGAAAGGCTACTTATGGTAGAACATTATTTGGCCACTTAGTCAGCTAAGTGTACACTCGATAAAAAAGTATCAACCACCCTGCCGTGTGTAACTATGAAACATTGTGCAAAGACTGTGAACGTATGACAGTGGTTACCAGTGTCAGCTAGTAGGCAGCTACCAAACAGGGAGGTACTACCGCCTGGGAAGATATTGGAAGCATAATGTTTTGTCTAATGGTAGACCCTGCTGCCATATGTGACCAAGTCCCAGGTTGATGATCTGACTTTCTGCCTCATTTACACACAATTGCAGGATCTCAATTGTTTCTCTTACTTTGACAACATAACATACATATATTGTTTCTCACTCTTGATAATTTTTTTCATTTTTGTATTTCTCTATGGTTATTCATTATTATTATTATTATTATTATTATTATTATTATTATTATTATTATTATTATTATTATTATTATTATTATTATTATTATTATTACCCCCCAGGCCCCGATGTGGGTCAGTGACCTGTGCCTGGGAGGACTAATCCCCGTAAAAAAAATAAATAAGTAAATAAAAATTAAAATTAATTTTCTACTCTACCGACCTCGGGGTGGTTGATACTGTACCTATTTTATTGACTGTACCTGCCATTAAATTAAACTATCTCTGAAGAGCACAGACTGGTTAGACTATCTCATAGGTCATAAAATTTAATTTAATTTTTCAAATTTTCACTATTTCTGTGTTCTGACCAGGTCCCCGAGCTCAGCAGCTGGAGGGTGAGGAGTGCCCCCTTCATGTCCAGCATCCACCCACTGGGGAAGAATTTGCTCTTGGCTGTGGAGTTTGTCGGAATGCTCACACATTCTAATTTACCTCAGAATTGACTTGCGCTTTATTGTAATTTTATGTACTATTTTAGAATGCACAGTGCCCCTGTCCTATGCTTATACTGGTTACTGCATTGTTTAAGCATTAGTGAATTATTCATTTTAAGGCTTGGCAAATATTAATTTTGCAACAGTGTAGGAAGACAGTGAAATATACTGTATATATATATATATATATATATATAGCTTTTAAACTATTTTGGTAATATAAATTTTACATTTTATATTCTTGTATTCTTTTGGAGGTATTTTTGCAAGTCACGTTGTATTAAGCAGGAACTGGCATTAAAGATGAGTTGTACTTAATTTAACAAATGTTATACAGTGTCATCATAACAATTCCAACATGATATTTTGAATTATTGATCCACAAGAGTTTTAAATGGTGTACATAGTTATTAAACTCTCTATACTGCTCAATATTTAATAAGATGAGATGAATTTTTATTTGAATGGTTTTACACATTTCCTATAAAAATGATGCATATTTTCTTCAGTTCCTTAAGCATTTCAGATTTATTTTTTCAGTGATAACTTTTCATAGTATTTTATTGGCATAATTTTATAATTAATAATAATAAGTTTACCATTTTCTAACAAATAATAAAATACACAAATTTCACCCTGTATGTACTGTAGATATTATAGTGCAGTATACAGTGTTGTGTTGCCTCCAGGAGAGCCACCTTGTGGTAATAATTTACTTTACCGACTCAACATGACAACTGTACTTTAATATTTTTGTTCAAAGTTTATTCCAAGCTAATTATGATGAATTTGTTGTCAAAAATTAAAAAACTGATATTTCACAGTACAGTACATCCCTTATAAAACACAAGTCAAGGAAGTGTTCCTGAGTGTCACTTAAGTCTGGTTCAAGTGTTGTAGGAAGTACAATTCTGTACATGAATTAGGACATACTAGCGATCATGTATTGCTTTAAAATATATTATAACTTAAGTACAGTAGGTAGATTTATAGAAAGGATTTTATTCATAAAAAGTTCACATTGAATCATCATGTACATAGACAGTGCAGGTAGAAAGTGTACAGTATTTAGTGCAGGCATACAGTCAGTTCTGCTACAACGCGATAGTTGTGTTCTTGTAAAATATCGTGTTATAGAAAATTGCGTAATAGAAATAACAGGGCTTATGGAGAAAATAGGGTTAGGTGCAGATTACTACTTGAAATCGAAAAAAAATTTGTAGTTAGCCTAACACAAAGGATAGCACAGTCTAAATAAATGTTACATTCATATCTAATCATGAAATCATACAGTAAATGTAACACTTTACCTTGAAAAAATATGAATATAGCTTGAAGGGGGAGAGTAGGGTGATTTTGAGGTTGATAACATTTAGCTTCTCGTCAAGTGTTATATCCTTTCTTTTACGATCATCACCGGGAATTCGATCACCAGAACGCTTCTTGGAGATATTCTTCTTTACCATATTCACAGTTAATACCACAAAATTGGAGAAATAGTAAGCAAAAATCGCGTTACAGCAAACAAGCGTTCGCGTTATACAAATATCGTTCCTCTATTCATAAATCGCGTTAGAGCCAATTCGCGTTATCAAAACACGCGTTATAGCAGAACTCACTGTACAAACTTTACCTATTTTATTCGGATTAAAGACTTTATCCATATTTTTTATTACTATATATAATTATTATACTGTATATAAATCCAATTTTTTTTTTAAATATTAAGCTTTTAAAAGCTGTTGGATTAAAACTTTCTCTTCTCTACAAAGTTATTTGATTATTTGATTCATCAAACTTGTTACCTGTATTTTAAATTCAATAAGTGGGGCAAAAATTACTTTTTTAAAAAGAAATGGCAAACAGGTCTTGGCCTCCACACCTTCAGTATTTTAGTGAATGTGACAGAACATAACAACCATGTGTGATGCTAGCAAGAAAAAACTATTGTATCCTCAAGTTTAGCAGCACAGTACAATACTACCGTACTGTAGTCAGTAGTTCAACCCTGCTGATTTCACAATTCTGGAATGGTTTTAATTTACAAACTACTGTAAGCCCACAAAGTTATTGTATATATTATTTTCCTTAAACCTTCATCAGCCTTTTACTGAAGTTGTTTCAAATGTTCTCTTTTTAAGCATATTTTAAGATTCTTACTCTATAATTTTCCAGATATATTTCATGCCTTCCTTACTCTTATTTGACAATTAATTAAGATCATTGAATGACAGAATAGTTGCACATGAATGATGTATTACATGTGTGAATCAGGTGTTCCAATAATTTTTTGTACAGTTACAGACTCTTGAAACCAGATCTCAGAACATCAACATCAACAAACCCATTTAATTTGCTTTTAGGGAACTAAATAGACTAGAATTAATGTTTTCTTTATTTTATTATTTAAAAAGTAAGTCATATATTCAATAGAGTTTGTGTGTGTGTTTGGAAGTAAAACTTGAGATAGTCTCCAGGTAGGTTAGGGGTAACATGGATGACCTACGACCCAGGAAACCGGCTTGGTCTTGGTCCCAAGGGTCCTGGATTTGAGGGCCTCAACCTGTATTACAAAATGGTCCTTTTTAGAAACTTTCAAACATAATAAATGAATATAAACTACAAAAAATAGTGTTGTGGTACAATGATTGAAACATGAAGTTACAAATTTATTAGAAGAGATAATTCGTTTGAAAAGAATATTTTATACCTCAAACATGATGTTTTTTATGATGTTGAAACAAAATACAAGTAACACTTGAGGACAGTTCCTTGATATGTATTTTAAGGTTAATATTCAGTACTGCAGTATGAAATACCACTTTTTTCTGTTTTTGATACCTGCTTCATTCTAGATACTGTAGAGGGTAATAAATAACTTTTGTTTTATAAGAAAACTTCAAGATTATAGTAGTTATGGCAGGCAAACTACTACCATCACTTTGATTATCCATTTTGTTGCACAAAATGCAAGGAAGTTCTGCTTATATTTTTAGGTATAAATTGCATAACCTTGAGTGTTGTAAAGCTATATAAGATTTTTCTATTAATCCATCATTAGTGCCACACATGTTGAAGATCAAAATAGGTTGAGAAGTGTTGAGTGTTGTAACCATATTATGTGGCTGAGTGCCATAAGACTGTACTGTATAAAGTTTATGAATATTGCAGTTTAGGGTTGATGGATCACAGCTTTCTCTTTTATTCCATTTTATTAATTCTTGAGTGAGTAGCTTTTCCCACTTTTTACATTGGCTTGTGCACTTGTAAGCAAAGTTATACTAAATGATAATTTGCTATACAAAATATGTAGTTGTGTCTCACCTGTGTAGGGTGTTGTCCCTCACACCATATAGTATTACAGTACACTACTCCAGAACATTGATATGATAAAATTACCAACATTGTACAACCCATCAGGAAAAATGTCTCGGTGTCCCAGCCCTGCTATACATTAAACCCATATCTAATCGGTGGCTTTTAATTTTGGTTGATTTATTTCATTGTTTTATTATAGTGCACTTCCCAGACTTTACAAAAATTAGTTGCTGTGCAACAAGAACAAAATTTCTGAATGAAAATTACGGTTTTAAATATACAGTAATATATGTTTATTTCATCAAGGAGAACAAAGCTTTAACTGTAAACTTGACACGTTGCTTCTGTGTACAGTACACCATATGGTTTTTATTATTGTGTCATTAGGCAAGTCATTGTAGAATCAAGAATTTAAGTTATTGTTTATTATGTATGTATGTATATATGTCTTGTTTAGATTATATATTCATTGAAGTAGGTATTAAAGGATATTGGGAGAGAACAGAGATTTTCACTACTGTTCTGGAACAAGTGGTTGTGCTAAACTATAAGTTTAATCAGTATTCCCATAGCAGCAACATTCCTGCTGTGATGTTTAGATGTGTTTTGTTGCAAATGAATCTCACATTATATATGTTCTTAATGCTGTATATTTATTATAGGTTAGTGTACCATCAAGTGTGATGTTAAAGATATTTGTATAATTGTCCTTTACAAAATGGGTAAGATAATATTTATTCTTTGTGCTGTCAGGCCCTATTTTGTGCTTGGCTTGATTGATGGTAAACCTGAGTTAGTTATATCTACAGGTAAGTCTTAGTCTGTCAAACAATAACTGACTAACAGCTTGGAAACTGTATTGGTTAAACATAATTTAGACATGTTATAAAGGCTTGTCTTTACAGATGGCCTTAATAGTACAGTACAGTAATGATAATCCTACTTTAGAAGTAGTAAGTACATACTAATGATATTTAAATATGTACCCAAGAGATAATTCAGTCATATATTCAACATTTTTCAGCATTATCCAAGCTGTCATACTTAATTTTTCAAAGAAAAGTTATGTACTGTAGTGTATATGGTAACCAGAGGAATAGTGTAGACACCTGTATCCTTCAAACAGTATTTGTTGGTGTGTATGTATGTATGTGTGTGTGTGTTTTTATAATGTACTTACCCATGTGAATGTATGTATTCACTATATAAATGCACACACACAAACATCATAGAAACCACTTGGCATTGGTCTTGTGGGTTCTTATCCACTGCAGCTCAACCTGCAATCAAGTTTACCTGATGGCAACCTGATCAACAAGGCTCTTAATTGCAGCCTCAAAACCTGTATATTCAATGTTGATTTTTCATTTATAAGAATGGGTATATGTACAGTGTACCAAAAACACCACAAAATGTTGAATGCATATATTTAGTTTATTGATTTCCATGGACATAACACTTAGTTAGTGTGGGATTTTGTTAATAAGTTTAAACATTTACCATTGTTGTACGTGCCCTGACCTGTATTGTGTTACGTGACGGTTAGTGACGTCACTGGGGCAGTATTCCATAACTATAAGCAATCTAGTCCTTCAAGAAAAACAACAGAATTTTCTCTCAAGCCATAAGACGGACAACCAAATTCGTGTTTCTCTTTTACCTGTATATTTTTTTAGGTCAAAGTCAGTCTTTATTAGTTTTAGGGTTATGCAGTACTTGTGTGGTTGAATTTCAACTTTTATATAAATTTTATATTGCTGGGAATATCAGTATAATGTACTGTGTGCTTCTTTAAAAGTTGCATACAATTTAATGTGCATACAGTGTGACCAGAAAATAATGATGAATGTGAAATATTGCTATATGTATACTGAAAACTACACTGGTCATTATTCTGAATCAGATATCATATCGAATATAATGAGTACAGTATAGAATACCCAGCAACACACCCCTAAATTTTTGTTTGTCACAAATATGTAAATTTTCTGGATTTTGTAACGTCCAGTGACAGTGACTGTGGAGTAAAGTCATTGTTATATCAACAATATGTAGATTCTATTACATTTCCATATCACTAGAATAAATTTCTTCTGATATAAACATGTTATTCACTTCTCAGATCCTTTTCATGGATAGGCAGGTAGTCTTTGGTTACCTCAGGGAGTTGTGTCCTGCCTTGCCACCTGTGGGTTAGTGTTAGAAGGGGCATCCAGTCGTAAAACTAACCAGTACTTCAACATGCCTGATAGCACCTGGGTCACCAGAGCTGTGCCCAATCCCCTTATCTCTACTGCATTTCTGTTCTGGCACCCTGGGTGTGAGCTGGGGGGGACACCGTTTGGTTTACCCCAACCTGCCATCAGGTATAAAAATATATATATATATATATATATATATATATATATATATATATATATATATATATATATATATATATATATATATATATATATATATATATATATATATATATATATATATATATATATATATATATATATATATATAAGCCATTAACAATAATAAACCCATTGCTCATGTGGTCACGTCATGATCCCTGTTTATACTCGGCCTCTCTGGTTGTTTGTGTTGATCAGCTGTGGTGGTGGTCAGTGACGTCATTGCTTGAAAACTATAAAGAAAACTATCAAATAAGGACGTACCCAGCTTCTAATATAGGTAACTATTGTAGTTATTTTATCTGTGGTACTGAATACAACACTCTTAAGTTTTGTTATCGCCGAGGATATTTGTCCTGTTGTCAGTTTGGTCTTTGTTTAGACTAACACAGAAGGAGTCGATAAATGGGACGAAACTTTGTGGAAACGTTAATTACAATATATTCAATAGATAAATGGAAACAAGAATCCATTCAGTGTCGTTAGGTATGTTTTAAAAGTTTGGGTCAATTTATAGCATCCCTATGTATGTTGGTATTTTTGCTAACAACTTTCCTACCCCAAATCTATTATCATATTCGAATAAGACGTCTAAATTTAAAGATAATTTTTTTCTCTTACATTACCGTCTCAAACGTATAATAACGGAGGTAGCTCATGCCAGATATTTCTCTAGTTTCTTCCTTAAATCTTCCGCCATTGTCGCCTACCTCACCTCCCACCAATTAAAATGATTTTTGGTTTAATTCGCTGTATTTTTGGCTCAATCAGATTCGATTTTTCTTTTGGTTCTCATATTTTGACATTCATATTCATTTCCGACCGTTGAAGTCTGCGATGGGTGTCACTTCAATTATATGGAGTTGATTGTGCCCTTTGGAAAAAAAAATTAAGTTATATTATTTTTTAAATCTTATGGTGTTCTCCCGACCTCAGTAAAGTGTCCTAAGTGTAAGAAGGGATATATATGTATCGTCAAGACCAACATATGTGGCATTGTGGTAACTCGTTCCTTATTCCCAAGACAAAGAAGAGACGTTGGTACTCCGTCAGTAGTTTCAAAGAAAAGTGCCATTTTCACCTGTACTAATATCAGAATCGAACGATGAACCAGAACCAGGCCAATAAGGTAAGAAATAAGTGATTCCATCATATGGTGAGTGGTTGGGTTAGATTATTTTAGGTCAGATCAGGTCAGGTTTATATGCCTGTTTTACTAGTGTTTTTCAGTGTATTTTGTATTCGATTGGCCATAATTTTGGTTGGAAACCGCCCCACCCAAAACCCCCAATAACTAAAAAAAAAAGGCTATTTCCAACAGAAATGAAAGTCAAAACCAATAAAAACACAAAAATACACTAGAAAAATATAGTTTTAACTTTCTAACATGTGTGAACTAATGCAAATTTACTCAAGAAAACCCAACCCAACCTAACCCATTGTTCATGCCCCAGGCGCTTAAAGAGCGAAGACGGAGGCCTAGAGCAATGCATGAGCAGGGGGTCAGACCACCTCCGCCATAAGTAAACAAATCATGACGACACTTGTGACTGAGCGAAAGTAATAATCTTGAAAAATTAATATCTCGGTTATTCTTAATTTCCTGTGGAAATATGATTGAAGAAAAATTTCTTAGAATTGTGTAAACATTACGAGATGCATATTTTTAATACAGAAATAAAGACCAGTGTGTTACTATAAATTCACCAAAGTTTTCTTGGCTGTTACTGTAGGTTAGGTCAAGTTCTAATAGGTTGTGTGCTTTCTCGTTTCCATTTATCTATTTGAATGATTGTAATTAACGTTTCCACAAAGTTTCATCCAATTTTATCAACTTCTGGTTAGTCTAAAAAAAACTACAAAACTGGCAACAGGACAAATATCCACGGCCTTTTATTATTAGGCATTAGTGAGTAGATTGCAGTCAAGGTAAATTTTGTAGTGTACAACGAGTAACTGGTGAGGGTAATTTCCCTGAATTTTATGATAAACTGATGGACTCTTACTGATATAGGGGCAAAATGTTTCCATAAAAAAAATATGGGAATTATTAGGTATTACTGCCTTTTTTTATTTTGACACGAAGACATGATTTTCTGGTGTATTTTGGTGTTTTCGTCGAATCTGACCTTCATTTCTTTTGGGAAAATTGACACCTACTAAACTTAAGTAACCTAACCTTACTTACCTAACCTATCTTAGACCTAGTGCATTGTGGGTGTGGGAAGGTGGCATGATGGGGAGTGAAATGTACATCAGCTGTTGGTCAGTTCCTACTTGCCACCACTGATGGGAAGCAGTATTTTTTTTTTTCTCATTTCCTCCAAAATAATGACTTTCTATGTACCTGTATGTTGAAGTTTAGTTAAAACATCACAAGTGAAAACAGCCTAAAAAAGCCTGTTTATATCCAAAACGAGTTTGCAATAATAATAAATAATATCCAGTAAGTTTAAAGTCATCTGTTGTATTTGGGGAATGAAATTTAAGATTTGAAAATGTTCTTGAGTATCACAACTTGATGAAGAGGTTTCCTTCTCATGAAAGGTCCACAAAGTTTAGGGAGGAATATTTTCTAATTATTATTTTTTACTGTAAATTTCCTGAATACTCGTGTGCTACGATGCCATAACCAATGTTTACATCTGGGAAGTTTCATTTCATCCACAAGAACTCTTCAAAAATTTACCAAATATACTGCTACATAGTATGATTTATTAGTGATGCTTGAAGCAGCCTAACCCAAGTTATGGTGGTTAGATTAGCTTAAGTTGAATAGTGTTGGGATCTTTTTGCCAATTATGTGATTAAATCTTCATGTACAGGGTATTACTGTATTTAACAGTGAAACTGTAATTATAGTTATTTTTTGCTATGGTTAATAGTTTCCTGTTCCAAATTTTGTTAGGATACAGTACTATTTTGAGGAATTCTGTTATATGTACAGTATACTGAAGCTATATACTGTACTGTACTGTACCATTTTCTAGCATCAAGATGAGTGAGGTGCATCTGTACACGTTGGTAACAAAGAACAACTTGAATTCAGAGCAACGACAACTTTTTGACTTGGTGAGAGCTGCCGGCATCATTATACATCCTCAGCTGTTCAAGTTCGTACAATTTCATTGTTAAAGTTTGGAATTGAGTTCTTGATGATTTTGAGATTACTGAATAACAGAATTATGGATATAAGATTTGTGAAGAAACTAAACTTGATTATATTGTACATTTTTCACATGTTTTGCCATCATTGTCATAGATTCACCTGCATGTTCCTATAATTTCAGAACTGTAATGGATCTGCTGGCCCAGAACATCCCACCACACGCCCTCATCAACCTTCTTAGAGATCTGAGCAGCAAAATACCGTGTGGGGAGGATGTAATTAATCAAAACACTGTGCAAGAAGGAAACATGAATGACAATCTCTGATAAAAGGTAGAGCACAGAATATTGTTAAGGCTGTAGAATACATAGAAGAGATGTGAGAAAATTATTGGATATACCGGTACTGTATATGGTAGTACAGGTGACCCTCAGTTAATGTGGGAAGTGTGGTCCAAAAAAGCTCTCATGGAGGCAGTCATTTATTGCATGTATTAGATGGGTTGTGTTGCTGGACCTCTACTGACCTCATAACACTGTTTCATAACTTCTCTAATGAAAAATATCTTAATAAAATAACACCTCCGTTTGATATTAAATCAAAGAGAAAATTAGGGAAATAAAACAGGTATTTACTGTAATATTCACCATCAACAGAGACCCTAAACCCTGGTTTTGTTTCTTTTTAGTGACTGAATATAGAAGATGGGGTTGACAGTCTCTTTCCTCCAAACTTGAAAAGCAAGTTACATCAACCACCAAGCACATAGCTGGCTCTCATACCCATAATTTATAAAAAATATATAAATGAAATTGTCATAAAAATAAAGATTTGGTAATGAAAAACAGTTGTGTAAGCAAAATATAAGGGAAACCATTGATAGAAAAAAGTATGAAAAATAACAACTTAAATTTATAGTACTATTATATTTGATAATGTAGACAGTGTGAGAAGACTTCACCCAGATGGGTTGAAAATCCTCCCTCCTTCCTTCCCTCTCCAATTTCAATCTATGTACAGTAGCTAAAACAACTATCTGTGCAGGTGGGGGTCGATATGCTCCGAAATTTTACGCGTGACTAGTGACAGCCGTCACATACCAAAATTTATCGTCCGTGGTCTCATATTGTATCCCTCAAAGTATGCACAGATAGTTGTTTTAGCTACTGTACATGGACGTACTGTTATTGTCATCTCCCTGTTCATCATCATCACTCATCCAGACTTCCTCCACCCTCTCAGCTGCTCATGTTGTGTGATGGTGAAAATATATCCTGGCATGCATTTTCCTTCTACAGTTACCTGCTGCTCATCTTGTTAAGGTACATAGGCAACTAAAATCCTTGAACTGACTTTCATCTCATTGTATGTACACTGAAGTAATCACGTAGATTCCGTAAATTAACTTAACTCGACATATTTTCCCAGGAAACATAGACGACACAGTACAATGTAGTATTAAGTCGTGTCAAAGTAGAGAATAATTTTATTACAGTGAAACCTCTATTTAATGGTGAAGAAAGTCCATTATATCGAGGGTTCGTTAGATGTGAAATTCCCGTCTGACGGATTACATGAAGAGATAAGTCCGTTATATGGAGGTTTCACTGTATTTTGTTATGCTATACTACAGGTGGACGTAATCCAGAGCAAACACTAACTGTCTCTTCTCACATCTTCATCCATTCACTCTTAACTACCTTACTGTGACATGCTGTGCTCTTCTGGTGTTCACATGGAGTACTGCTTCTAGGTGCTCACCCCTTTCATATCCAGTACTGTACTTCCTTCACTCCATCTTTCCAACTCCTCCTTTGTTGTAGGAGGTGATGGTGGTGATACAATAGGTGGAGGTGATGATGGTGGTGGTAGGTGATGATGGTGGTGGTAGGTGATGATGGAGGTGGTGATGGAGGTGGTAGGTGATGATCGAGGTGGTAGGTGATGATGGAGGTGGTGATACAATAGGTGGAGGTGGTGATGGTGGTGGTTCTCTGGGGTTGTTTGTCTTTTGGGGATGGGAATCTATGAATGAGATAAACATACAGTGCTGTACAGTTGTACTCACTTTACGCGGTCAATTGAACCCACAGGGTACCGCGTTAAGAAACCGCGTTAAGTGAACAACAGAACATATGGGATTAATTCCAATAGAGACTGGCCCGACCCCCAAACTCCACTTTTTGACAACACACAACTATGTTGTAGTAAAAATATTATCTTAACTTTATGATGGTATGCACATATAATTATTAATTAAGAAAAATATCAATAATATTAGGTTTTGACACTTAATTAGTAGAAAAGATGGCTGGGCCACGGGAGATGGGGGTTGGTTCCGGGAGGCAGAGGCAGATTATTGGCCCTCACCTGTATCACTTGTATCAATATCACTATCCACCACAGAGGCTTGCAGGGCCTCTTTGTCAAACCCTCAAAGTCCACATAAGTCCATATCCTCACTATAATTATCACTATCACTGACTTGGGCGGCTGTGGTGGTGGCGGGTGAAGAACTCGGATGTTTTGATGACTGCGACCTTGTGCGCAATCGTGCCCACGCCGCTTCCCCAAGATATGAATAGATGAACGCGTTATGAAAGTTCGGTTTGGCGGGCACGGATATGAGATATCAGCAGGAAACCGCGTAAAGCGGGGTAATACTGTACTGAGAATGGTCAGAATCTTCCTGGAGGATAAAACCACAACATTTAAGGGCCTCTTGTACAAACAGCATACATTACCGACATAAATTGTGGAAAATTAAAGTGTTTTACGTCTTACCAAATGATGGATTCAGGGGCAACTGTTTGTAAAAATATTGTACTTGTCATTTCTCTATTTAGTGTGGCACACATAAACATACACACACATAAACACACACAAACTTAAACACACACACACATATGCATAAACTCACATAAATACACACAAAAACAAACATAAACACACTTATTCATAAACACACACACTCAAACATAAACATGTACATACCACACCTAAACACACCCACACACTATTTTTTTTTTATTCACAAGCCATTTCATCATATAATGCCAGGCTGGTCACTGTCAAGAGCAGGTATACACCCACTCACCCACCCATCTCCCTTCATTAATTAATTCTTCTTGTTGTAATAAATGTGTTCCTCAACATGGCTCCAAATACAGTATCCATGTTGTGGTACACTCTATTGTGAAATATTTCATGGTGTGTGTTTAAATTGTCTTTTGAAATGTTGATATTAGTACAGTATCTTCCTAGTCTCTTATTTCAGTCATTCATATAGTGTACTGTACTACAACATATGTAACTGTGAATGTCAAACAGCCTTAACTGTAGCTAATGTCATATGAAACATGAACCTCAGTGTTGGCCTTAACTGATGCCCCCAATCATTAAGTGTGATATACCTCATCAGGTTTAGCTCTTTACTTCCTCAGCTTAATATGATGATGTATTTTAATGACTGGTATTGTATTGCTACATTCTCATGTTATAAATCTACAATATTGTTGGTGATTGTGTACATTTCTCATAAGGTTTGTTATTGGCTACTTAATGTGATTGGTTTTAAATGTACAGTACTGTAATCCAATCTCTGACTTTGCAAGGTTTCGATGCATTATTTCATCTCTGCAATATATTTTTAACACAAAAAAATTTAGTTGGATAGGTATGATTCATAAGTGCAGTGGTTAAACAGCCAAGGTCTGCACTTTGGCCCATACAATTGAAGATAAGGATTGTGTGGAGTGTGATGCATCATAATAAGACACGTCCTAGGTACACTCTTCATGTTCCAGATTTATTTTTGTTTTGTACAATTTCATGACAGTACAAAATGTACACATGCACAGTAAACAAAAACTTGTTTATCAGAAGTCATTTTCACATTTTTTCTTCATATACCGTTCAAGCAAATGCTCACTTCAAAGAATAAAAATCACATTTTGATAACAGTTTTTCTTTATGCTGTACAAACATAAACACCACTTCTCAACATTTCCAACTTATTGTTTATTGTTGACACCTGAGGCTTCTTCAAAAGGGATTCCCTATTTGTAGAAGAGCAAGAAAGATACTTTGGGAGGCACTATCAGTACCAAAGGAGGAAATCAACTGTGCAAGTACAGTGCAGGTGCTGTTGACCAAACGTCTTCGCACAACATTCTTGCACACTAGATGCTTTCCCCTGATGCATTATGTAAGGGAATGATGAAAAATGTGATATACATTCAGGCACAGGTGACCTTTAACATAGCAAAAACCAAATTTGGGTGTACAGTTTACAGCACTAGTTGTAAAGTGAACCACATGTAAGTGCGTCTGGTCCTTGTGAGGCTCGCATGAGTGAGGCAACCTGTACCATTTTTGTACTTTTTCTAAATTATACAAATACATTATATATTCTGTATTAATACAATATGTATGATATAATAATATGTACCATATTTTAAATGAATACTGTACTGTGCAGTTCACTGTATTTTCTGACTTCTGGTATTATATTGGTTCAAGTTAAAATACATGTAATTTTGGAATTGTACAGAAATTCAGGGAAATTAATACTGTAGACACCTGTCAAATGAGTTACCAGGTATGTTTATTAGTGTCTTAGATTTTGGTATGCAACTAATTGCTATTAATTTTTAGGGATTTGTTAAAACTCCCAAGTTTTAAAATTTCTTGCAATGATTTCAGGTTTTGAATTGTCAGTGAATTCTCAGACAGCCATTAAATTAATTCATTACTGTAGACATGATAGTTCATTTGGTATAATATTTGTGCTTTATTGATTAATATTATGCAGTTTTAGATATCTACACACTGCATCTGTTGTAACCAAGAACTATATCAATGCATCTGAACTTCATGTTGAGTTACCATATTTCCTGCCATACTAGACACACCCACTTTTAGCAGGGAAGAGCTAGGAGATGAATAGTGAATTTCTCAAGCATGTGTGGGTCATGTTCCAGAAACAATACCAGTTATTTTAATGTAAAAAATATCAATGCACTCCACAACCTATACTTAACAGTACACCTCATTACTCTGTCATAGACCCATTGTGTCATTATTTATTGACATTCATACAATGATTATAAGACACATTAGGATACTCCCCATATTGTCACCAATCCACTGCGTCACCGACCTGGTTCGTCACCAAACCCCATTTCATCACCAATATCAAATCCGTTTAGGTCACCACCAACAGTCGCTGGTATTAGTGACAAATTGTAAGTTATTATTTTACACCAATAGAAATTACACATGTATACAGATGACTCGAGAAGAATTGTGTTAATATTATACATGAAAATTAATCATTTAATTTAGAAAACGATTTAAGCCTTGTTAAATAAACAAAATACAGAACAAATGAAGAATTAATTATTGTGTTATTGCTATAGTGTACATGAATATTAATTGTTTAATAAAGAAAATGATTCAACATTGGTAAATAAACAAATGAAGGTGATTTGGCAGGCATAAAGCACCGAGCAGTGAGATGAATGTAGGCATATTAGCTTTTTTCTATCCCAAGCAACAGTTATTTTCGTGTATATTGATGGGAATGAACAGCAGATTAAAGCAGTGGTAATAGCGGGTTGGTGACAATATGCGCAGACCCCATACATTAATAATAATGCCCCTGATTTTCATCTCTCATACCTGGAAAAAGTCCCCCTTCCCTGGAATTTTTCCGGGTACTGGAAATTTTTCTTGGAATTTTCCAGAAAATGTGACCCACGGAATCCGAAATTTTCCGGAAAATTCTGAGCAAATTTCAATATCGGTTATTGGAGAATTCAGCTAACAGGGGTGTTACTTAATAATAATAACATAAAACAACAAATCACAGCAAACCCAAAGGTCTCGCCCACAAAGGCGTACAGTATGTACAGTAGACGGTCATCACCGAGTGTACAGTATGTTAAAGAGTACCTACTGTATTCCTTCCTGCATGTTTCTGTTAAAACATCTGTTTTCCTTCAACCCTCCAGGTATTAGACTTTTTTTATTATAAATATATGGAATAAGTGCAACTTATATGGCAAAAAGTATGGTATCTTGTACAATACTATACACTACTGTATGTAATTATATGTACGTATATACCTGTACAGTATAATTATATATTTTTATTTATACTGCACTTCAACAACAAAAAGTTCTTGTGTATTACACTCTCCCTTTGTCAGTGATTCACTAACTGCATAATGATACTAACCTTCTTGTTTGTGTGAGCACATGACATTAATGTTAATGACCTGGCATAATTGAAGTCAGAGTGGGAGAGAATAGCTTGCTCATGGGACCAACACGAGGCTAACAGCTGGCTGGATGTGTGTTTTGTATGATCATATTTTCAAACTCTTGTATGATGTTAAACTAAAGTTATTGAATACCTAAAAACATATTTAATTATGAACTACAGAAATATCTATATTTTATACCTTTAGATTTTTTTATCAGGAATATTTGAGGTCATTTGTGCCAAATTGAGGACCTGGTTACATAGTGATAGCCTGTGAGAACTGTTGAATATTGCCTTTCAACTGAAGATGAAAATATACTGGTAACTAAAATCTGATGTAGGTTAGTCACATATTTTTATTATAATACAATATATTTAAGCCATATTTTATGGGAACAGATAAAAATTTAGGAGGTTACAGTATATATAAATATATCTTTTATGAGATGCTTTAGAATAAATAACAATTTCTTGTGTATAATGTTAAGAATTGTATATGTTTGAATTTAACCTTTATGATAATGTTTTTCATGTTAATAAAATTTACCTTTTAATGATCACTTTACTTTTTATATTTTCATATATTTATTGACTTTTTGCTGGACAATGTGCCTAAATTTGTACAATTATTTAAAAGTTCCAGATATGTTCATTCATCACAAAGTTCTGGAACAGCTGGGCACGACAGATTGCAGAATGAGCACTATGGCACGTGTCATCTCAGAATGGTTGGGAAGTGACTCAATATTTCGTTATAATATGTTGTTTGTCTTTATAGTATTTACAGGTGAAAAGACATGATTTGATTTGCAGTAAAACTTCCTCAAGAGACCAAAGTTCAGATTTCTATGACCATTAGAGTGTTTGAGAGCTTT